ACAATATTTTCGAAACTTAAATGAAAGACCTTTTCAAAATGTAAATAAGGGGAATACTGATAAAAATAATACAATCGATATGACTAATCAATACAAACAACAACAAGCAATATTTGATTCTACTAAAAGACCAACAGTTATTTTAAATAACTTTACTACTTTTGAAGGTGTATCAAACCAGGTAGGCAGTGACATTATACCACCAACTATTTTGAGTAAAACTGTTGCTTACAGTAGACTTGTGCAAGAACCTAAACAGGAATCACCCAAATCCCGAATAACTTTTAAAACTTGGGTTATAAAACCATCAAGAAAAGCTAAATTGATTGCGATTCCAACTCCTTACAGTTACAATCAACCAAATAATGCTCAAATAGAGGAATTGGAGTTAGAGGCTCCATACAATTACAATAAGCCCTTAGAGTCTGTTACAGCAGAAAATGATTTGCGAAATGAATTAGAAGGTTATAATTATCCTAATCCTACACCAAAATCTTTTGAAAGTTCTAATAACCAGCAAATTTCTAGGTACTATTTACCCCCAACAACCCTGCGACCGTCGTTCAATGAACGTTTGCTAACTACAACTCCTCAGCCTCTAAAAACATCTAAATATTATCTTGCCCCAGTAGCTCTTAAATCTGCTGATCAATACTTACCACCGACGGAAACCAGCTCAACTGTTTTAAATCAGTATTTACTACCTAATTCCGCCTTAAAAAAAATGTCACAACTACAAAATGTGAAATTTATTGATAATCCTATAATTTCAACGACTGACTACACCATATCAAATAATGCTAATGACTTTTATTCTTCACCACTAAGTACCCCACTTAATATCAATGATAACAACAGCAAATTATCATTTTCTGACATACTTTCTAAAGAGAAACTTGATATAACAATCAACGAAATTGTTAATGACACAAATAAAATATTACAAACAGCTTCATCCGGAAATTTCAATAAATACATTGAAGATTTTCAATTCAAAAACTCCAATAAAATCCACCCAGAAAATAATTCTAGTAAAGAAGAATTGTCAGATATTCCTGTTGATCGCCCTAAACCAGCTAAATTAATTGCAATTCCATCTACAGAACTAGAACCTCCAATAGAAACTTTTAATAACATTGAAAATGTTAACAAAATTTCTAATTTACCGTTTCTTAAAGAAACATCTCTACCTACAATTGAAAGAACTGTGTCCATTAAAATTACCATTCCAGAAAGTATTGCCAATTATTTATTTAAAACTCACACCAATTCTAAATTAGAAATATTAAAAACAGACAGTAGTAACTATTTAGCTCTCAAAAATACAAATGATAGAAACCTAGATGATCAATATATTCCTATAGGAAAACTACGTTGGGATGGGAATTCAAACCTTTCTACTTCACAGGATGTAATTTTTTCACTCGTCGCTGACTCCATCAACGCAGCGAAAAAGTACAACAATATAATTCAAGAGAACGTCATATCGCCTACACCTACACAGCCAAGACAATTCCAAGCCGTAAATAGCGAACAATTAGGGCACATTTCGAACACTATATCCAAGTTGACAGCTTCTCAATATACAAGCAAAGATGTGAAGACAAACAGGATCAATAATAAAATATCTCAGTCAAGTGACGAGTACAAATCTAATCAATATAAAGGTGCAGAAGATTACAGTAATGACTCAGATAAAAATTACACATATTCAGAGCACATACGACAAGAACCAACGCAGTTAGTTTCACACTCGGCCAAAGATAACTTATTTTCAAAACAAAGCCGAAATCCGTTCATTAACTACAATTCAATTCCTCAAGAGAACAACGATAAAATATATAGTGGACAATATTACAAATATCCAGTTCCTGAAGTTACTAGACAGATAATTAATTCGCCTAATCCCGCCAATTCAAATCTTATACTTCCGTCAGATTTTGATAAAGTAAAATCGCAGCGCATTATGTATCCCAAGAATAGTTTAACAAATACTAGAGATTCATCTGTAGATGAAAAGTCTAATGTGGACATTTTTAACGATCAATATTTTCAATCTGCAAGATTGCAAATTAAGTCTTCAACTGAACGCCCTCAATTAAACGCAAAAGACAGTAATGTATTGGCCAATGTTAAAAGTGGCTTAACAGCTCAGTTGCAAGATAAAATTGTTGGTACAGTTCTACATCCATCTGACGGAAATAAGTTTATTACATACAAAAAAGATCAATTATATTATTTAGATCCTGAACTTGAGAATGAAGGTAATGTTATATCAACCAAACAAAATGAATTGAAAAATAAACAAGAACCGCAAAGCAACACATATCCGGATATCATTACCTTTCACTTTATTCCTTCTGATAGTGAAAAACATGTATTGCAAGATGAATTGCAAAGGTATCAATTTAGTGAAAATAATAATTTAAAAGAAAATAGCAGAGGCACAAATATTTTCAACAATAATATCAATGACTATACTTATCCCACTGAAATACCAAACAATGTAAGCCCTCAATTGCTAAATCAACGTAAAACTGTTAATACACTCTATACCGGTCCTTCTTCGTATTCAGCTCCCCAGTCATCTATAGGAAATTTAATGCTACCACAAAGAACACAAGACGTTAACGCTAAGATAGAGGACCTAGATGAAAACAATAACTTTAATGGCTATTTTAAAGAAAGGCCTTCGCGTCAATTTAACTTTTAGAAACCAGTCGTTCAATATATTTTACTGGTAATTATTATAACAACAAATTTGAATGTAAATAAACGGATACTTTCGTTAAATAATAAAGAATTTACCTACAAACTTGTGCTTTATTTTTGACAGTTTTTAAAATTAATACCTGAAACATTTAAGCTGATAGAGATGAAATAGTTTGGTTGGCAACTTTCCTGCACAGTTCAGCCTCATATGATGGCGTTTGATAAAAGTAATTCAAATATGATCGACACCGTTTAATACAGTATAGCTTTGTATTATACTTATTCAAAAATAGTTAATTATGCAGTTTCATAATGCAATAATGGAACTGATATTTAAAATAAATGAAAATAAAATTTTCACTGTCGTATGCCCACGCCACGCAAAAGCTTTCGGTGTTGCAGGAATGGGAAGCCATCAGGCCAATCCGTGAAAGCACTAACTATATATAGCCTCTTAAAAAACCAACGTGAAGTAAATGTATTAATACTTTTGCGTTTCTTCCTGTGAGTTAAGTGACTCGGGCCAACTGGGTTCAAAAGTTGGCAGCGCACTTCCTGTTATAAATGTCCATGGGCGGTGGTAATCACTTAACATTAGGTACCTTAAAGTTTTCCATAAAATCTGAAACTGGCTGGTTAAACCGACAGTTCACGTATGTTACAACACTAATATTCGGTCCACCATGTGTATTTTATTATATAAATAATTGGCTAACTCTTTCTGAAGGTGAAGTAAAGTTGTTGCAAAAAGAGTTGATATAATTTTGGAATTACTTAATTAGATGTATAATTTTAGACGTAAATTATTCTTAATAGAAAATTTAAAATTACTTCTATACCATTTTGAAGGCCCCTAAGTCGTATCGGCCCGGAAATACAAATGAAACGGAAGATTAGGTGAAACACTCAGATGATGGCAGTCCAACCATCGAACTGATATTGATAGGATTTATTATATTTATATGGGAATGGAATGTTAGTATACGTAAAAATAAAACGTTAGTATAGTAATGTGTAAAAAGGAATAAACTGAGTGTGAGCGAGGCGAGTATAAAGGAGGAAAAGGAAATAAAAGACGGATACGAGGAAAACGTGTAAAAATTATAAGGAAGCTTTGTGTGGAATATTTTCCACATTTATGTTGCTTATTATTATCATTAATTGTTAATTGTTTTAATATTTTTTTACGGAAAATATAATTGATTGCAGGTAATGTTTAAGCTTTTTTTTACAAGTAACTCATTATTATAAAAGCTTATTTATAGCTTATTTTGTAGCTCTCACATGAAAAAAAAAAACAATTTATGAGAAGTTGTCATAGATGATAGATCATACATATCAAGTTGTTTTTGGTCTGTTGCTATGGCAGCTAGTTTGGTTGTTATTCTTTTGTTTGTAAACAAATTCTTAGAAACCGTTATGAGTGACTGCCGACAGTTCATTTGATCATAATTATGTGAGTAAACAGTAATTTTATGCATATTATGACGTAATTCAATTTTTTTTACTTTTTAAACAATTTATTTTGGGCAGGTGAATAGTTGCACATATATTAATCAGTCAGTAGTAAGTACTTAATGAGATATTGGGGAATTGTATATTTTCCCTGTCTTTATCTTATATACCTATGTATAAACAAATCTGAACCTTATATGTTATCAATGCTTCAGTACAAAAACTAGTTTCAGTAAAATTTAAACTACTTTTGGTTATTTTTTCAAGTTCTTCATATTTAGTAAGTAGGTACCTTGTGAGGTAATGGAGGTATAATTACTTATGTAATAGTGAGGTAATACACACATTTATATAAAATTATAACAAAGTTAAAAACTACATGTATTAACATTCATTCAAGATATCTTGAAACTATATTGTTGAGTTGAAGCCATGCAGCAATACCAGCCGTAACCTGAATGGGCCGCCACTACCACCCCGAAATAAAGACTAATAAAGTATAAAAAGCAAAATTCTTATGCATTTCATCTGGGAGGTAACTTCAGATCCCCAAAAAAACACAGACCGAATAAAAACTAAGAAACTTCATATATCATAATCTTATACACTATTAATAAAGTGAACATACATCATCTGTATATTACATCTATAGGCAACCAATTAAATTATTTTGTAAAGCAATTTCATAGGTCATTAAATCATGCAACTTATTTTTAACATCAATCAAAGGCGATGAAACTCCAACTTTGAAATATAATCAGACAAATTAATTTTTAACAAGACAATGAAATACTAATTATATATGTATACTCCTTACTTTTGATTATCAGAAAATGGAGAATTCTTTATGTGATACCACTTATGGTCAATCTTTCCATGGAGAGACTGAGATGGAGCTGGATATTCATAGAGATCCAAGAGTACAATGGTTCAAAGACCGTATTCTTACATACATTGGCATGGATGACGGTGACTTATTTTACAATATGCTGGAGGAGGGTGACACAAAACAAAATCTCACCACATTTATAACAGCACCCATGAAACCTAACGAATTAACATTGGAAAAAAAAACTTTTTATGTATCCAAGATCATTGTTGATAAGGTTATACATGAGGATAAAGAATTTTCTGAATGGAGTAAGTTAATGGTCTTTTTAATTTAAAATGCACCTTTTTCAGGTTTCAAATATGATTCCTTACTTATTTGAACTTAGTAACATATAATATCGCAAATGCCTACTGACACTCCCTTGCACCGTTTGTTAAATGTTATAACTTACAAGATTCAGATTCATGTATAAAGAATCCTTTTTTTGGTTTTGTGTTGATACAGAAACCTATGTATTATATATATATATATATAACCAAACATTTATTATATTTCATTTTGAAATCTTGTAAACAGTATTTATTTAGCATTATCATACAAAATGTTTTCAATAATTGCACAAGATATTATAAGTTTGCAAATACTGCTTTCCTAAATAAAGCAATAATTAAAAATTAAATGGTTTTTACTCATATTTATTTTTATTTATTTACATAATTATGTTTATATTTATTTAAATGTCTAATTTAAATGTTTATTTATTAGTCTGACTTATTTCTTAGGAGTCATACCACCAAAACCGCCTACACCTCCACCACCTCCTAAAAAGAAAAAAGGCAAAAAAGGGAAGCCGGCAGCTGCCGATATGCCACAGGACGAAACGGAGGGAGTTGCCACAGATAAAGATGTAATAACTGCGAAGAGCGTAAAGAGCGTTAAGAGCGTCAGGAGCGTTAAAAGTGTGAGGAGCGTCAAAATCTCCAAAGGTAATTTTTCCGAAACGATAACCGTTGGGGAAGAAAGGTCTGGCGGGTGGCAGCTTCGTACTGGCCATCGCCCGCCTAGATGGAGTAATGACCTGTGCCAATGTGCGGGAAGTCGATGGAGGCAGGTGGCTGAGGATCGTACTTCGTGCCAAATCCCCCACAGACTGCACCCACTTATGTTCAGAGATACTGATGAATTTTTTAGTACTCCTTGTACAAAGTTTGTTCTGCAATATTTGAGGGGAGTTCTGGGGGGAGTGGGGGGGATTGCATTCTCTTTCGTGCTTTTATTCCATACTTGTACTCGCTTTACCCCATACTCGTACTACACTTTTGTACATAGTTGCGTATGGCGTTGTTATTAAATAAGTGTTGCAAGTGTTGCAACTGGCAACTGGTCAAATGTCAGTATAATATGAACGCTTTTATATTTGCGAACAGTTTCTTAACAAATCATTTCATTTTTCAGACGACGGAGACGACAAAGGTTAGTCGAAGCAACATTTAGTAAGGTTATCATATTCGTAACGGAAAATAATCGATAAAAATCTACTTCTATATTAATGAACTGATAGAGACAAGTATTTGCACCCTTTGTGGGTGTAGTTTTATATCCTACTAAAACTACCTGAGTAATTTAAGAGGACGTTGATTGGACCAGCAGGACCCCAATTATTAAAGCCAAGTAGTCTTTAATAATTATATTTAAGTCGCCTTTAAGACAGGAAGGGGATACTTCTTCTATTTTACGCTTCTATGATCCCTAATACACGTTACACGTAGCTTTAAGAAATTGGTAACATACGGTCGAGCCACTGGGATTTGAAACTAACACATACCTACAGATTGCAACACCTCAGAAAATGATCCATCAATGTCGTGTTCTACGCCCACTTTTCCGGTAAAACAAAATAGTTGTGAAAATAACCATCTCTTAACAAATTTTTCTCAGTGATCTTCGGCTATGGTGTTATTATAAGTTGCTCACTTTTGATTCAACAGATATCGAAACAGCCGCAGCTTTGACGGAGTACGTTGATACGGACGACGAGACGAAGACGTCTATAGACCAGCATGGCAAGGACTCTGGAGACACCGCGTTGGGCACTGATGATACCTACTCCTTTCCTCCACGTACGAGATATTTGTTTTTTAATTTTAATCGTTTTAAAAAAAATCAGGACATATTTATCTAGTCAATAACAAAGTTATCTAGTCCCAAACTAAGCGAAGCTTGATATGATATGGCAGTAGTGGGGATCGAACCCACAACCTCTGGCGCAAGAGACAGTGTTTCTACTATCCACTACGCCAATTGGGTCGTAGTAGATAGTGACACTTTCACTATTTATTTTTAACAATATCAAAGGATTCAGCATGATGCCAAATCTCAGTAATATCTCTTTGTAAAATCTGATAAACTAGCGCCATAGACTAGTCGTACTTAAAAAATAGCACTATTGTAAGTTTGTAAAACTTATGAAGTTTATAAATATGTTGTATAATAAGATTTTTAAATATAAAACACATTGTGCTTTTATTCATCAATAGCAGGTTCCATTAAAATAAAGGAGCCGATTTCGTTTTTAATATTATTGCTACGAATGCCATCTCTTAGCGAACGATTGTACTAATTAATTTGGGATGGTGAAATTGTATCCGATTTCAACATATTTAATTTCTTTTTATAGTAATTATAAAATTTGTAAAATGTATTTCATGTAATTTAAGCACCCGAAGACCTCGACCCGGAAGTAGACGGCACTATTGAGTTCTACACTGTGGTGGTAAGTTTCGATCATCAGAGACTTAAATTGACCTATTCGGTTCAGTTAGAAAAATACGCGTTGTTACCCTTTTTGTGCCGGTTCACCTGATGTTAAGTGAATACCGCCGCCCATGGACACCTGCTACACCCAAGGGTTTGTAGATACGTTGACAACCTTTTAAAAAGTGGGCCCCGGCTACGTCACTCACCAGACGAAACGCGAAGGTATAATACGTACACAGCACTCTGATCTTCTGTGAGGTCGTGGTACTTCTCCGGACGAGCCTGCTCATTTCTGCAACAGTAGGAGCTGCTGCGTGGCTCTACTGATGACTCCGTGGCGCGGTTGCCAAGGTATTGGCTACGGTGTTGGGGGTCGTGGGTTCGATTCCCACACGGAACAACTATTCGTGTGACCCACAGGTAGTTTTGTTTCTCATCTGGGTGTTTGACCGTGTGAAATTTATGTTTGTAAAACTTAGTACGACACAGGATAATGTTACCATAAAAGTAAGGGTATTGTTTTATAATAATAAAAAAAAAATTCTATAACTTTATTAGTTTTTTATTATGAAATTAATGTGGCGTGTTGTGGACTATGCTCCAACACCCCCTGACTGTACAGTGGGGCATAATATATAAGCTTTAACTTCACTCTTTTACTTTACTTCATCTGCGGTTCATGCAACAGTTCGCTGTTGCACGAACGGGCAGGTCCGTCCGGGCAGGAAGTACCACAACCTCTCAGAAGACCAACTTGAAGAGGAAGTGTTACACTTCTGCGTTTCGTCTGGTGACTGAGGTATACGGGGCACACTTTATTAAAAGGTGGCAACGCGTCTGCAACACTAAGGGTGTTGCAAATGTCCATGGGCCGCAGTTATCACTTAACATCAGGTGAAAAGCCAGCTCGCTTGCAACTTTCTCACTTAAAATATACATTACTTCACAGAGGTCCATACCACGCGTCATAAAGTATCCGAAACTGATACCGCTCTTCGGCGCATTCACTCCCCAAGTGGTCAATCGCAACCGCCGCTACATATTTTTCGTGCGTCAGCTACAAGATGGCGTCCCGCTCGCCGACACAGACGAGATAACCAAACTCAAAATGCCCGACTACATACTGACAGGTTGCGCGTCTGGCAAAGTGCTTATGAGCTTGAGTATGCAGCTTAAGGAGGTAATGGTTTAATATTTTTTATGTATTATTTCCCAAGTATGATATTAACATCTATTGACAATTTTTTAAATGAACGACGGTGAAGTAGACCTTTCATTATTGCATACTTATTAACAAATAATGAAACAAACATTCCGAGACTGTTTTTGTGACGTGTAGTTCTCTGTTAGCCCGGCGGCAACATATTAATGTCACGTGTTAATAAAAACAGAAAAAAAAAAACATAGGTGTTTTATTATTCATAAAGATGGTAAACCGTCGCCCATGCACCAGAAATTCTGCACGCGTGTGCTAAAATCTGATTTGTGTTATTTACCAGTATCACTCACCAGACGGAATGCAGAAGTATAACATTTTCATTTCACGCCGGTTCACCTTCGAAGAGTCGTAACAGACAACCCTTATATACTATATTGAATGCGTTTAGGCTTCATCCAACTCGTAGAAATTTTGAAACTTTAAATAGTCTCCGGATTGAAGGCGTAACTTCAGTTAATACAAAATACACGGTGAACAGGATGGTAATGGCCCATGGTATGGGCACGTCATGAGTAGGGATGAAAAGTAAGTAGAGTAATAGCTTTTGTGTGTCCCATTGCTGGGCAAAGGCCTCCTCTGTACATAGGATAATAATGAAAGACGATAGGGAAGAAGACGTTGAGTTGACGCCACCTATTGTGGGCTAAGGGAAGGAGATTGACTATAGACGTCACCAATCTAAGATGGAAGTGGTCAATTAGAATTTGAAGATTTATTATGTGAAGATATAAGACGATACGAATGGCGTAGTGGGTAGTGTACCTGCCTCCTGCGCCAGAGAGTGGGTTTAATACCCACTACTGGAAAAATATTGTGTGATGAACATAGTGTTTTTCTAGTGTCTGGGTGTTTATATATATGTATAATATGTATTTATTTACAAAATAAAACCACTTAAGTATGTTTTATCAGTTATCTAGTACCCATAGTACAAGCGTTGCTTAGTTTGGGACTAGAGAAATTTACGTAAAAAATATTTCCCAAAAAAATATAAAAAAAGAATTAAAAAAATTACGTCTTTACAGATGTTCATACCGCTATTCAACAAGCAGTTCCGCGAGGTGACGGTTCTGAACGTGGAATCGTCACACGCTCTCCTCTCTAGGCAGGTGTCGTACGCCGGCGCCCATTATAGGATGGACGAGACAGCGTCGCAGGCAAGATTTATTACTAATTGAACCTTATCGGGATTCGTATATAGTGCAAATTCCTTTGACATGACCCGTGCCATTTGTTGTATGACATTGATGTGTTTAACATATTGATTCACTTCTTTCTCTCTTTGTTACGGTCGACAAATATTAAATGTTGTTTTATATTTATACATACCTACATTATTTCACAAAGGTGTTTTTTGACGGTATGCCATAACTTAACTAACACTAATACGAAGCTTATTTTTGTCACTATTGACGGAATATACACGAGGGGAATAAAGTTAAGGTTTCCATGAAAAAAATCGTTTAAATTTAATAGCAACTCATTTATAAATACTTATTAGCACATTATTTATTAAACTACCATTCGGTGCCTGATCATTGCTTCTACGTCGTCCTGTGACGTCTTCGGTTAAACATATTTTATTTATATATTACTACAGGATGAATACTCTTCTTAGCCATTTCTTATGTCTCTGTTGCCATGTTCAGAGAGTTATTCTATTTTCACTATCACTACATAGTATAAAACAAAGTCTTCCCGCTGTCTGTCTGTCCCTATGTATGCTTAGATCTTTACGCAACTTATCTTGATGTATTTTTTTTACTAGATAGAGTGATACAAGAGAAAGGTTTATATTTATAATACATTGCACTCGTGCGAAGCCGGGGCGGGTCCCAGTCTTTACTAACATTATAAAGGCGAAAGTTTGTATGTATGTATGGATGTTTGTTAGTCTTTCACACAAAAACTACTGAAAATTTTTAATGAAACTTTAGCTTATACATCAGAATAACTCATAGGCTATAATATATAAATGTATTGTGTGAATTGTCCAAAATATAGGAAATGATAGTGTCAACTAAGTAGGAAAAAATTTAGCCATCTGCGAGATATTCTGGTGTATGATAAAAAACTCATTTGTTAATTTCCTTTGGCCGCGCGGGTGAAGCCGCGGATAACAGCTAGTAATATATAATGTTGCCATGACCCATGACATTGACAACCTTTACAAGAATTAGGCTCCGGTGCCCTCACTCACCGCACGAAACCTTGCCCTATACTTTAAGCTCATCTGTAAGGCCGTGGTACTTCCCCGGACGAGCCTGCCCTTTCGTGCAGCTTCAGAAACTGCTGTGTGGTCCAAGCACAGTAACATAAATTTAAAAAAATAACACTAGCAATAAAAAGAAACGTGGAAAATTTATTTCCTATCACGGTAATTCGAGCGAAAACTCGATTTCAAAAAACAACTTTTATTGGATTTACAGGTCAATTATCTACGGCCGTCGGATTACCGCCGAATGTCGAACATAGCCAGAGGTGAAAATGCTGAAAGAAGGTATTTACTTTAATCCGTTTATTTGTGCGAATGTGTTACAACATATTTATATTTATGTTTTATTCGTGTCAGCGAATAAACATTTGAAATAGCTCACATGTATATCTTGAAGACATCTTACTTGGAATAAAGAATTTTTGATTCTAAGTAATATAATATTTGTAAAGATCCATTAAAGTTTGAATTGGTTTGTATTGGTGTTCATTAAAGTTTGAATCTTAAACCCCTTTAATGTACTAGATTAGACTACTACATGTACTAATTCTCTAGTTCCAAACTAACCAACGCTTGTACTATGCGTACTAGATAACTGATGAACATACGTATACATGCTTTTCTTTTTAAATAAATACATATTATACATATACAAACACTAGTAAAACTAGTAAAACACTATGACCATTACACAATTTTTTTCCAGTAGTGGGGATCGAGGCAGGTACACTACCCACTACGCCATTCGGGTTGTCATCTCCACTATCATTTATATTTAGTGTACTTTTCTTTCGTGTGCAATAAACGATTATTATTATAATTCGTCATTATTCATTTTAAAAGCTAGCGGCTGTTTATGGTTATGTAGTGAGTTTACTTTGGATTCAATGTTCGCTAATTATCAGGATGAAGAGTATGCGCAGTACAGTTTCGCGTGTTGAGCAGAAGCCGGCTCCTGTACAGCTCGCCTTAATGGTAATTACATTTCAGACCGAAATTGTTGATCTTTAAGGCCGTTCAAAATGTAAATACAATACGTTACCTTCGTGGGCTCTACGCATACCATCGAGCTAAAGTCCCTTAGCGAAGTAGGTAATATTTAAAAAGTCTGGTACAAAAGTGTAGTGGGAGGGAGACGCAAAGCGGCTTGGCCTAAGTCGTTAAGGAGGGTGCCATCTTTTACTCCTCACTTTTCTACATGATACCTAAAAACTGTATTGCTCAGAGATTCAGACGCTTACGGCCGGTTTCAATATTCTATTTTCAGATAGATTTGTTTACTGGAGATATTAATTTTGACATAAGTATCATGGATCTAAAACGTCAAATACCTATCGCTGGTAACCAAGTCTATCTGCAGGTTGAATATTGAAATCGGCTTTTGGACACGGGACACTTTGGACACGGTACTGTAACGGAATAACGGGCCTCTTCAATTAACGTTGCCTTGACTACCTAATTAAAAATGCGTTCGTTTAGTTGTCTACATGTGGACAATTAAACGAACTAAAGGCATATTATATTATGCTTTGTTTACCAATGTACAAGGATTCATCGACGCTGATGAAACAGCTGGAATGGGAAGATGTCCAAGATAAACAGAAATCAACAGCAGAGGAAGTCACAAACGACATTGAAGAACTCATCGCGATCGTTGATTGGTAAGGTTATTTTTTCATCCCATGAATTCGTAAAGTATTTAATAATAAAATATATTTCTATTTAGTTACAATAAATCAATTTTACCAAATTTTATCATAATTATCATCATTTACCTCAGTGTCCGGGCGCTCGCCTTTAATTCAATCTACTCGAGCATCCTGAGTTCGATCTCCGGTGCCGGCACCAATGAAATTGTTAACTAAGTGCTGACTTATCGCGTGCTCAATGGTGAAGAAAAACTTCGTGAGGAAACCTGAATATTTTCGAAATGATGAAAAAAGTGTGTGTACTTAGGCGTAACAAGATAAAAATCTTTTCAAAAATTTTATCTTTCGCCTTATTCTACGTTTTTAGAAAAAAAAGACTAACAATACAAAAAAAGGTATTTAATACATTGAAAGGTTTATCATAACGTATCTACTTAAATTATAAAATTAGATATTAAATAAAGTTTTTTTTAAATATCACAAAATAAATATCGTGAATGTCTACTACTTTCGCAAATTCCTACAGGACTATAGAGCATATCGAGGGCGAAATCCAGATGCCCATGCCCAGCATACCGCAACTAGCGGACCAGCAGACCGAAGTGAAGATAATAGATCCCAATTTGGTGTCGCAATTGGAGGAGGCTGTGAACATGTGGCAAACGCACATCGATAACACCATCACGGCGTGCTTGGGAAAGGTGAGTCTAAGGGTATTAGTTATAAAAAAAATGTCTCGAGACATAGTTTTGCACGAAGTTATCTAGTCCCAAACTAAGCAAAGTTTCTACTACGGGCACTAGATAAATGATAAAACACACTTAAACGTACTTTTCTTGATAAGTGACAGTGCTTTGCAGCCTTTTTTTCATTTAGAATTGCAAGGAAGAGTAACAATTAAATTCTTCAGTTTTTGTCCTAGCTCTGACCGTCCAAATAATCATTGGTCATTATTATTTTATGGGTATGAGTTAATATATGATAATAAGCAAGCGCTCTAGTGGTTTGTAACTCGACCAATTACTAATACTTTACAATGCGCAGAAGATTTTTGTACTACTCCGTCATTAGTAATTCTTAAATGGTTATTAAGATGTAAAAATTTATAAGTTAAAAAGAAAAACTCACGCTTAGCAAGAAGCACAGAATGACCCTCTTATTTTTGGTCTAACGCCGATTTTAGTTAAATACATAATTGTATTAACATACCAGACCAATTCAATTTCAAAGAGGAATAAAAAAATAAAAATTTTGATGTTTAATTTTTCTTATAATTTTATAAAAAATTATCCTTAAATAAATATTTTAAGGGTGGTCTTGTACAAACAGTTGTGATAAGAAGATTAAGGACCTGACTACAATTTTCATTATTTGCTGATCTATGAACTAAAAAAAATACACTTTTTATTTGGGTATCGATTTTGCATAAAAAATGATAAAATTTTACTAATTAAAAAAAATGGGCAAAGTACAAACCAGACCGCTGGCTTTTCGCCATTTGCTAGTACTTTCGGCTAAGTAAATTGTTTTACTTTTTTTTTAATTAGACTCGTGAAGGCGAGGGTCCTGTGGCCGAATACAAATATTGGCGCGAGCGAGATGCAGAGCTATCGCTCCTCGTCGAGCAACTGAAGCAACCGACCGTGGTCAAGATTCTGTCTCTGTTGCAAAAAGTCAAGTCGCCCTACTTGGAGGTGAATCTAAATTTTATAATACAATTGGAGGTGAATCTAAATTTTATAATACAATTAAAAAATTATATCCATGTGTTTGACCAATCTGTTCTTTGGGAAAATGTTTTTGAAAAAGTAACTATCATACGGGCTAGCAGTTATCATTACTTTTTTATTATATGACTTTTCAATTTTCCAAATGATCCTCCATTTGGATAATTGATATTAAATTGCGCAGAGTTTCACCAACTATAAGGAGAGACTCATAGAGCAATATAACTTGGCCAGTGACAACTTGAAGTTTCTCTCAACTTTGCTCCGTTTCTTCAATGTAAGTTTAATTTAATGTCGTTTTTATGTAGTGCTCACAATATTGTCTTGCTTTCGTTGCTTGTATAATCACTTCGTACATGAATTCTAGTTTTAGTCCTCAAAATAAAATAAAAAATTCTTCTTAGAACTATCAATATTCTTAATTAGGAAATGCTTGATCGCTCAATATTTGTTTTTTCAATTATTTATGATACCATTGTATCAAACGTTTCAGTTCAGAAATCAACTATAAGTGTATGCATCTAGGGGTTAAATTTGCTTGCACCTGTGTCTTTTTATGCGTGCAGGTGATAGAGGATGATTCACCGCTCCAGCAAGTGATTGACATAATGCCGGAGCTGATGGAGAGCATATTCATGGTGTGGGTGCTGTCTAAAGGCTATAGGACGGATGAGACAATGGTTCCCCTAATGTCGAGAATCTCTTGGGCGCTGAGCAACAAGTTGGAACGGTTTCTGGACGTGCATAAACTATTCGAGTACGAACGTTTATTATTATTATCTGTTAACGGCTTATCATCTGCTGTGACCTAATTATATTGCATACATATTTTTCTTAATAAGTCTACCTTGTTTCAATGAAAATCTTCCAAATAAGACTGTAATCGAAGGCCGTGCCATTGCAATTTAAGTTTTTTACTGATCTAAACTATGCAAATTCAATTTAAATTCTTTGTTTATTTTAGGGAAATAGAAAAGAAATATAGCTGATAGTTGCCCAGACCTTAACACTTGCGCACTGATTGATTTGCGTCCAGTATGTAGCTTTCTCTAGTGAAATAATTTATGGGACCGAGTATGCGTAAAATCTTAATTCTGCATTTAATATGTTACTTAACCTCTTAAAACATAGTTTTACGCTTACTAAAATTACTTTTCGTTCAATGAAATTTGTCGAAGTCGTAGTGAACACTATCGAGACGTTGCTTATTGAACGAGGCGTTACAGTACCGCTTTCTATTTCGAGTCGCAACTTAAAGATTTTTCTCTTTTGTAAGCAAAATTGTCGTCACACCTGTAAAGATACATTTTTTCTCTAGCTATCATATCTGCGAAGATATATATTGTTTTGATACGTCATAATTTACTTAGTGTCGCCTCGTCTTTCGTATTTTACCTGGTCAAATTGAGATTTAATGAAACTCCAGCAAAAGCAACGAGGAGGTGATGTGTCTGACGCGCGCCGGCCAGCAGATCATGAGGGCCTGGCACGACCTGTACAAGGAGACCAGGCGGAACATCGAGCTGAGCGGGAAGGGGGCACGGTGGGAGTTCGAGCAGCCGCTGCTGTTCACCACCACCGACTACATTGGCACCGTGGCCCGTGACCTTGGAGACGTAGTCCAGGTACGGTTACCAAGGGACTTAGATTAACCGTGATTAATATTGAGGTCTGGTATCCATTTACGGATTTTGCGATGAAGCGAGTGTTCCTCGTTATGCAATTATTTATTTGTAATCATGTGAGTGCTGCCTTTATCCGAAATGAGCGCTTTAGGAGATAATAATAATAATAGGCCTGACTGTCTGTTTCTAAATTTATTTATGTAATTGTAAAAATCGATTGATAGCAAATGTAACACAATGCTTTTAATAAAGAAGTAAATAAGGACCCGTGACCGCGGGACAAACTATTTTAAATTTACCTTAGCTGGAAAGTTCGATCTCGAAATTTATTTATGGAATCTGTATAGTACTTAGAATTAAACTGAATTTAATGATTTACTTTTTATTAAAATGAGAAACTGATTTTAATAATACACAGTAATCATTTATGTGCGGGAAGTGAAGTACTGGCCAACGCAGTGTAAGACGAGTCCCCACTAGATGGAGTGACGACCTGTGCAAGTGTACCTAAAGTCGATGCTGGTGGCTCAGTATCGTGCAGGATGGTCTTCTGTGGGTGTCTATGTTCAAAAGTGGACTCTAACAGGCCGAAATGATGTTTAATCATTCACAAATAGAATCATATTATTTAGGAATAGAAATAGTTTAGTCAGAGCGCAATGTGACACTTATAATTAAAACCGCCCCGTTCAGGTGCTGATAGACTTTGAGCGGATATTCGGGGCGGAGCTCAAGTCGATCATCAGCGATCCGACCCAGATCGACGACGTGCGGAAGCGGGTGAAGAACCTAGTGCTGCCGATACGCACGGTCGACTTCAGCGTGTTCGTGTACGACAACAGGGAGAACTGGGACGTCGTCATGGGCGACTTCTGGAAAGAGGTCCGCTACTTGGAGGACGAGGCGAAGAACTACATCAGCCAGAGCTTCGGCAACCTGCGGTGGGCTAGTTCGCTTGTTACACTCTCTGTGGCAGGGCCACGCAACGGCTTCGGCTGTTGCACGAATGGGCAGGTCCGTCCGGCTGTGTCCAGAGTGATCAATTCAAAAACTGTACGTCCGTGGACATTTGCAACATCCGTGGGTTGCAGATGCAATAGAGTGGGCCCCGACAACCGCACTCACCAGACGAAACGCAGTATGACACTCCCACTCCAAGCCGGTCTTCTGTGCGGCCGTGATACTTCCCCGGGTGAGCCTATATTCGTGCAACATCAAGAATTTGTTGCGAGATTTATATTTCAATTGGTAATCCAAACGTTAAATAAACCAGGCCCTCTCTAGTTGTCTCACGCCCGGTTTCTGAAACACTGATCATCGTAGAAATTCAATCAGCTGTCAAATGGCTTTTCAAATGTCAGTTGAGTTTCCAAAGGGATGGTTAAACTTTTTGAATTGATCATTCTGTATCGTCCTTTCCATGAGTGTTTCAGAAACCGGGCGTCAGCCTAAGACGTTAGGATCTACATGCTGACGCGTTAGTGCAATGAGCGAGAGATTTTTTAAATTTCAACTAAAAACATCTCAGGTACTCCGAAGAAGCCCTCGATGTGCTCTTGAAGTTCCTAGAGTTCGACACCAGGGAGTCCATTCGTAGAGAGCTCTCGACCAAGTTCGACCTGGTCATGCGACAGTTCATTAAGGAGATCACTGCAATCGAGGACAAGTTTACGGTAATTCGACCCAATTATGTTTTATCTACGAAGTAATCTGTATACTCATATATAGAGTATGGAAAGAGCCTATTATAATGTCAAAGAATGCATGGCGGACAAGGATGTGTGTAATGATGCCTGCTCTTACTTCCCTGGTTGCTGTTGATATTATACCTACCTAAATATTTTTTTATACTTATGTCATAAAACAAAACATATAAAGACCGCAGGGATTCTTGCAGGTTCTTCCCTTGTACAGATTTATCTTAGAGAACTGGCGGTAAATTTTTGTCGTTCATTAAGAGCTTAAAACAAGCCTATATATTATATTCAATAAATACTGATTGATAGGAAAGGATGTTAAAAATGTTGATAATATGCGGCACGCTTTTATTGCCCTTTACAACGTATATCATATCTATGAAATAACGAAATATGTAGTAAAACATAACATATTTAAAATCGTATCAATTGTATAAATTACCCATCTCTTAATACGCAACGAAGACTATTTTATCTCTACAAATAATAAGTAATTAAATTCTTATTTGGGTTGAACTAAAGTTCAAAGTATACGTCCCTTTTCAGTTGGCATTTCGAGGGAATTATTGATTTTATTTTCAAAATATTATAGAGATATTAATAATATTACACTGATATTTGACTAATGATACCATGCTATTACACTCGTATATTAGGATTGATGAGATAACTGATTAATTGTTAATTGTATGGTGTTATTTCTGTTTTTGAATGCTACGCGAAAATAATACTACGAAATTGACACCCTTCGTTTGAGTGAACAAACTCAACTCCTCCCACATTGAGATATCTGAAGACTCCGTGGCGCAGTAACCAAAGTATTAGCTTCTGCGTCTGGGGTCGTGGGTTCGATTCCCGCACGGGACAACCATTTGTGTGACCTACAGATAGTTGTTTCGCAACTGGGTGTTTGTCCGCGTGAAATTTATGTTTGTAAAGCGTCCTTACAACACACGATAATGGCATCCTAGAGTGAGGATATTAAATATATATAAAAAGAACACAATAATTTAACATTTTTACATAATAATTTACTTGCTGAATTTAATTAAAATTTTACAACGGCCAAAGTTATAGCTATAACCACTCGACATGACTTATACTGCATTACAGGCCATGGTTGAATAACTATGGATGAGGCAATCGCTTCTATACACTGTTAGTTTTCCTTTTAGCGCTTTCGGAAAAATCCACCGCTGCTTCGAAATCATCCGCCCGTGGCGGGCGCGATCTATTGGGCGAGAGCTTTATTCATCAAGATGAAACAACCGATCCTGAAATTTCAGAAGGTGTTTCTAATAATCTACTATTAATATGTTCTTAATATCTCTAATATAAATACTTTCTTATTGTTCTTCTAGAAGTAAATAGATTTTTGGGATAATTTGGGATAGTGGGTTCGATTCCGACTACAGGAAAATATCGTGTGATTAACACAGTGTTTTTCTAGTGTCTGTTTATATTTCTCTGCTATATGTATTTAAATACGAAAGATAATTATGTTAAAGCAAGTTTATCTTCGCGGTGGTAGGGCCGCGCAACGCTGTTGCCTGAATGGGCAGGTCCGTCCGGGTAAGTACCATGACCTCACATAACACCGGCGTAAAGTAGAAGCGTTCACACTTCTGCGCTTCGTCTGGTGAGTGACGTAGCCGGGGCCCACTTTATTTAAAGATGGCAACGCATTTGCAACCCTATGAGTGATGCAAATGTCCGTGGGCGGCGCCAGCTCCTTTGCCACTTTGTCACATAAAAAAAAGTCAATTCAAGTCAGTTTGGGACTAGAGGACATTGTGTAAAAATATTTCCTGATATAATATTAATATAAAAAGGCATCACAAGAAATAGTAAATCTTACCCAATAAAGGTGCCGGAGCTAAACGACTGCGAACAGAAGAAGGAGGCATTCAGCCAGTACAAGTCCTTCTCGAAAGTAGTCAAGGAGTATGAGGAGATGAAATTCAAAGAGTGGGTGCAGAGCTCCTCGGAATTCGTCGACAACATGATGAAGAAGAATATTCTGCACGTCAAGTTCAAACACGGAATGGGTGGGCTAAAATAATTGTAATTATTAAAACTGTTCATTGTCACAGTCTATTTCAATGAGTTGGTCTAATTTCGTTGTGGCGTTCTAATTGCGAGGCTCCTTTCAACATCGGACGTCTTCTGTTTGATGATGAATTTATTAGAAGATTTCCAAACTGAGTTGCGTCGAGGTGGGTTAACATTTTAAATATATTCTATAGTCATCAAGCTCAGAAATATTAATCATTTTGTTTATGCTAATTGCCTGGCGCCAATCCCGTTTGGGAGCAAACGATCAGATTTGGAACAGTTACTTGGGGCCCTGGGTTCTGTTCCAGTCAAGGTCAAATACTTGGACGGAATCGAACTCACGACCCTCGGTGCTGAAGCCATAGACTTAGTAATGTGCGTTAATTACGAGTTTCTTTTTTGCTTAAATTCCAAATCCTTCGTTGTTTGAAGAGACTTTAGATTTTATACTTGGGTGTGTACTGAGGCTAGCGCGCTTACCATCAACGGCTGCATCGCCACTTATCATCAGGTAAGATGGCAGTCAAGTGCTGGCCAGTTTTTAATTAAAAAAAAAAGACGAAGTAATCTTGCTTTTACATTTTCATTATTTCTTTTCACGCAATCAGACCAGACGCAAGCGGGCCGCGGCCACGGCGCCAAACGGAAGGGATCGGAAGCGTCGCTCCTCCCCGTCGACATCGTGAACAAGCAGATAGCCGACAAACGACGCAGGGACAAAGCTCGTAAATATAATGTGTTTTTTGTCAAACATATGTTATTGTGAAATAAACCCAATTGAGTTGTTATGAAAAGAGAATATTTTTATTAAACACTAGATATAAATCATCATTCTACTTATAATTATTGTAACTAACATAAACATTATTAATCTTACCTGAAAAGAGAAAGAACATTTAAAGCTATTCCACAAAATAACTTTTTTAATATTATAATAATAAGCTAAATATAACAGACTACTACTAACAGTTAATTTTTAAATACAATGAGCAATGACATTAATCCTTAAACGTTCCACAGATAATATACCACAGATATTTAATGGAGACCAATGATCTTCATTTACATATATAATGAACAAGCCCTCAACAAAACAGTGTCGGTAGCTTTTTTATGTGAAAAGTTGCCAAGCGAGCAGGCAGATCACCTGTTGTTAAGTGAATACCGCCGCCCATGGACATTTGCTTCACCCGAGGATTACAAATGCGTTGACAACCTTTTGAAGATTGGGCCCCGGCTACATGACTCACCAGAGGAAACGCGAAACTATTTGTTATACTTCCACTTTATGCCGGTCTTCTGTGAGGTCGTGGTACTTACTTGGACCGGCCTGCCCATTCGTGCAACAGCCGAGGCTGCTGCGTGGCCCTAGAGGAGAACTGTTTCGTTAGCTATTAATGATAAGAGTGGGTTAACTAACAAAGCCCCCAATGAAGCAGTTTCAATATAATTTATTGTTATGACGGTTTAGAAGTGGGAACGCAGTGTCTAATTACCAGTCTGCCGCTGCTGGTTGCTAACACTCTTGCAATATATCTGTTGTTATGAGTGTACATTGGTGGCGGTACTTACTCATCGTTAAATATGAACTTGAGTTGCCGTCTATTTGAAATATCACTTACCCTTTTTTATGTCAGAAACTGGCAAACGAGCTAGCGGTTCACCTTATGTTAAGTGATAACCGCCTGCCCATGGACATTTGCAACACCCGTGGGGTTACAGATGCATTGCCACCTCTTAATAATGTAGGCCCCGGCTACCTCACTCACCAGACGAAACGCAAAAGTGCAACACTTCTACTTTACGCCGGTTTTCTGTGAGGTCGTGGTACTAACCCGGACGGACCTGCCCATTCGTGCAACAGCGAACACTGTTGCGTGGCCCTGCCACCGTTAACTCTGATGAAGGACCTCCGGTAGGTCCGAAACTAGTAACATACACCGATTTGTACGTGACTTTAGCCGTTTTATTGTTCCGTTTATAAAGTCTTGCTAAAGTATTAGTAATTTTATAAGAATAAAATCAACTAATTTCAGTTATGCTGATGCGCATACCGGGGCAGCACTACGAGAACGTCAGATCTCCGAGCTCGATGTCACTCCTCGCCAAAGAAGGATTGGTATTACCACTTTTTTACTGATTATTTGATCATTGTTTATTTTATCTGTTTAACCTGTGATTAGATATAGTCAATATTGCAAGGCATTAGGCCGTAAAGTGCGTAAGGATTGATGACTTGGAAGACTAATCATACGTTTCGCCTGGTCAGTGAGGTAGCCGGGGCCCACTTTATTATAAGGTAGCAACACATCTGCAACCCTACGGTTGTTGCAAATGTCCATGGGCGGTGGTTGTCACTTAACATCAGGCGAATCTCCAGCTCGCATGCCATCTTCCTACATAAAAAAAGTTTGTGTGTACTTATGTACGCACGTAAGAAGTTATAACTCATTGGCGTAACAAAAGAAAAACAAGTTGAATAATATAAAACCGTTTAAAAACTTTTAAGTTAAACGGTTTTATTTTCTGTTTTTTTTGTGCTCTGAAAACTACAATATTGTATTCTCATCTAAATTAAATGTGTGTACCAAATTTCAGATCAATCTGACAACGGGAAGGTGCTTAAATTTCAATTTCTAATTTTGACCCAAATAAACAAATAAATTCCGTACGTGTCGAGCTAAATAAAACCGTTTAAAAATCAAAGCATCGTTTCAAAAACTGACCTTGCCAAAACAGTGGACTCGAATTAATATAGATATAATATACTTATGCATACAAGCCGTGATAGCTCAGTGTCCGAGCGCTCGCATTTAATTCAATATACTCGAGCAACCTGAGTTCGATCCCGGGTGCCGGCACTAACGAAGTTTTTAACTTTAAGTGCTGACTTATCACGTGCTCCGCAGTGAAGGAAAACATCGTGAGGAAACTGTATATTTTCGAAATAATAACAAAAAAAAATTATTTCGAAGATATGTGAAGTTCGCCAATCCGCAGTTGGGCCGCGTAGTGGACTATGCCCTGATACCCTGTATATAGAGGAGGCCTTTACCCAACAGTGGGACATGTGTAGGCTGTTACTTTACTTTACTTTTACAAATGTTCAAAAGTAGCGCAAAGTTATGAAAGCGTCATCTACATTCTTTAATGAGAACTGTAATATAACGGTCGAATGTGATTGAGAATATGCTGCCATCTAGCGGTTTAACGTGCACCTTCAAAGGTCACCTTTGAAGCTGCACCTTTAAATTTCATTCTCATATTTTTTCAAAACGCGCCTAAAGAAGTATAGCTTCAAAAAATATACGCAAAAGCATATCCCACGCGAAAGTCTCATAGAAAATTCACAATCGACTGTTTTCAAAATACTGTTATCAAATATCGTGTCAGAAACAAAAATATTGTAATTGACATAAAGTTCATTCTTTAATATAACATTGAATGCTAAGATCCTATATAAAGGCACTACTACTACTATTATCTCTGCACCACCAGGTTGACTGGTAGAGAATGCCTCAGACATTAAGGCCGCCTATGTACAAGATTTGTGTAATAGTCAAATAAATAAATAAATATCTCCCTTTTCGCATGACAGACCGATGTGACATGGCGGGACCTGACCGTGCACAAGCTCATGCAAGAATACGACTTGGAGTTCCATCCCAATTTCAATCGGAAAATATTTCTTATTCTGCAGGAGGCTGAACTGATGGAACAACTAGGTAATAATGGAACAACCTCACTAAATATACATAAAATTGTTTATTCTTAGGAGTAAAAACTTAGTAGGAGTAAAAACGTTTCAAATTTATTTTAATTATAGAAGATTCCCTTAGTTAATTTTATTTTAGCCACTTATCAAAAAATAGTTCATAATTCGTTGATAGATTTCAAGTGGCGATATATTGCTATGCTGTTCTGTTTAAGATTCTAGATTGATTTATACTGCAGTAGCTGCTTTTCACAATATATTTACATATTTAGAGTAATATAATGTTGTGAAAACTTTAATATTTATTAGTTTCTTTATTTCATATCGTAAGCCCTTATATCCCCACTTATTTTCGTACTTATATCTTATTATATTCCTATCCTTCTACTTATATCTTATTACCATCCTAGACCAAACCATGACACGTAAAACGTCTTCAAGGCACACTGCCAAATTAAATAATAATAATTCTTTAACAAGAAACAATTTGTAGAATCTAATGCTCGAACTAAACATTGATTCTTTAAAATAAAAATAAAATAAAATAAAATAAGCCTTTATTATTGTTATTCTTTACAATCTTATTCTTACGTGTTATACTAATCACTATTTAAATTAATACTAGTTACACGTAATTGTGGTCTTTAAGTATACCGGCAGTCGGTTTATTAATCTGTAGCAGCTTGTCTCTCGACAAAGGCCTCCTCCAAGGACTTCCATGCAGCTCGATCTCTGGCTATATAGGTCAACTTAGGGCCCGCCATTTGTCTGACGCCGTCTTCCCATCGTTTGCACTGTCTCCCTTTATTTCTTTTGTCGCCTCGAGGGTACCATTCGGTTATTATTTTGGTCCATTTTGCTTTCGTATCCCTTAGCATATGTCCTGCCCAACGCCATTTTAACCTTCTACTAACGATGTGCGCATTTTTGAATTTTTTCTTGGTTTTTATTATTTCTAATTTCACTCGGTCACTTCTTCTTACCCCTATTGATTCTTTATTCTGATTTAATTAGTATTCGCACCGCTTCAGGCTTCAACCTGCCGTCGAACATTCGAGACGTGGCGATGCAGAAGTCGCGCCTATACTACGAGCGGGAGGCCCTCGAGGGCGTCATCAGGCGGTACAACGACAGCGCCGACTCGCTCAGCCCGTCCGAAACGCACCTAATGAAGAAACACCTGCTGCACATGGAGCGGCACATACTGCCCGGCCTGACCAGGATCACGTGGACTTCCCTCGGAATAAACGATTACATAAGGGACATAACCAAAGGCACGAACACAAAACCTGATAAAACCCTTGGCCAGCATAATTTTACACATAGTGCGGCGCGAGCGTGCCGTTTGTGCTTTGTTCCAAATCTTTTCAGGTAGGACTGCGCGGGAGGAGAGTATCGTTTGTGCTTTTCAGGGTTCCGTAACCTAAAGGGTAAAACGGGACCGTATTACTAAGACTCCGCTGTCTGTCTGTCCGTCTGTCGCCAGGCTGTACTCATGAACCGTGATCGTTGACAGTTGAAATTTTCACAGATGATGTATGTCTGTTGCCGCTATAACAACCAATACGAAAAACAAAAATATTTAAGTCCCCATACAACAGAGATGATTTTTTTCGTTTTTAGTACGGAACCCTTCGTGCGCGAGTCCGACTCGCACTTGGCTGATTTTTTTTGTCTTCGTCCCACAAAGTTTCACTTGCGAACGTCTTGTCATGGTAGCATCTAAAATTCTTTTAAACACTGATTACCCAAACAGGAGGCTAAATCGTGTCAGCATTTTGTTAACCTACATCAATAAATAGTACCTGGAGGACCGTTTTTTTTTTTGGTAAATAATGTAGTTTGGAAATTTAAAATATACGAAAATGATTTGGTATAGAAAAAAAAAATAAGTGTGTAAATGATCATGACACGAAGCACGGCCGTCTGTTTTGGGGCCGCCCGATTACCGACCGAGCTATTATAACATTTTTTTTTGCGGCGAAATTTACCGTCATATTCGAATGATATTTTTCATTCCCTGAAAACAGGGATAAAAGGACATTCTCTAAAAATGAAACCTAGCTAGATCGATTTTTCGCCCCCGAATCTACGCACATACTAAATTTCATGAAAATCGCTGGAGCCGTTTACGAGATTCCGAATATATATACAAGAATTGCTCGTTGAAAGGATAAGAATACATTACTTCGATTAGGTTACAACTCGATTTTAAAACTCTACGGTCGAGCTAGATTTATTCAGGCGAGTGTTCATCTGTGTATAATGTATCGTTCGATTGATTTACAGGCCAGAATTCCTTGCAAGCCGTGTACCAACAGTTGAAGATGGTCGAAAAGGAGATCCAGGTGCTAATTGACCAGTTGGAACTCTTCGATCTGTTCCCTCTAGTGAAACCCCGAGACTACGTGAGCCCTGAAACTGGGGAGCGTGACGACACCTGGCTTTATCCTTGCAAGGTATTTCAATATGCTGCTACAATATTATTAGTACGTTTACTGGATGTTATTACTGGATGGTAGTAATGTCCAATTTTATAGGCGTGCTAATATTATTTTAGCTTTTGTTTGTAACATAAATGTAGGTGATTGAGGTATCTACGTCCAGAAATCCTCGCTGCAAAATCAAAGCCACAACGCACCACACAATACACCACTACAGTAAATAAAAAAAAAATATTACGGGACATATTTCAGTCAACGTTATCTAGTCCCAAACTAAGCAAAGCTTGTACTATGGGTACTAGATAACTTGATAAAACATAGTAAAGAATTTTTATTTTGTAAATAAATACATATTATAGATATATAAACAGCCAGACACTAGAAAAACGCTATGTTCATCATACAATATTTTTCCAGTAGTGGAGATCGAACCCGCACTCTGGCGCAAGAGACAGGGTCACTATCCCCTACACCAACTGGGTCGTCGAGATTACCTTCCTCAAATTTTCCCATCGCAGACATTCTTCGTGGAAGTGGAGAACGAGCGTATCTCCCGCGTTGCAGCGCTGTCCCGTCTGTACGAACGCATCGGGCCCATCCTGATGAAGCTGGAATACCTCATACTGGGAACCAGCAGCGGCAAGTCGGAGCTCATGGCCGCGTATTACGCGCACTGGGAGAAAAAGATCTTCAAGTGCCTTATCAGGTGAGGTTACGTGTTACAAACATAAGTTTCACGTGGACACACACCAAGATCCGAAACAATTATCTGTGTCACACAGTTGTTCCTTGCGGGAATAGAACCCACGACGCTCGGCGCCGAATAAAATACCTTCCACACCTGATAAGCCACAGAGCCATCTAAAATTATTTCAAGAAACCTCGATTTAAACACGTAAACACACAATTAAACACGTAAAAATGACTACACGCTGTTGAATCTGTCGTCACGAATCCACAACCTTAGCTGTAAACTTCTTCACACTATTACTTATTGTTTCTGTGCCAACATAAATATAGCGTGCATGGTGCAATATATTCTTGAAAATACAGAATTTGTTAAGATTGTAAATAAACAATAAAAATAAACAGTTCCATTGGATAAAATATGAGATTTCTCTTCGTAAAAACATCAAATCTATCTATCAATTATTCACACTTTCCTCATCACGTCTTAATTTAAGTCTAGAGAAATAATTCAAGAAGTTGTAGTTGTAAAAGCTTGCATATTTCCTTAGTGCTGCCATTAAACTTTACGTCCGCATCCGCAGACTAACCCTCGAGAACATGGAGCAGTTCCAGCAATCGTTGAGCGAGAAGACGGCTCTGTTCCAAGTGGACGCCGTACTGGTGGCACCGGACATCACGATGCGTCCCACTTCGGCCGAAGTCTGCAACATCGTGGGCTACGACATCAAGCACTTCTTTAACAGGTCTTGCAATTTATTTTTCCCCAACGAATTCAATTCCACGTCGGGAATTTGTTGTTTTCCTAACAATTACAATTCCACTTATTTCCCATCGCATTTAAGCCGAGAAGATAATACACTGAAACATATCGTAACGGATTGAGCTTATCTCAATTCGATTACTATACTTTTCAACTGCTTGTGGAGTTGAAATTCGAATAATTTGAGATACCGACATATATCTGTTGGTATATACATAACATACAAAAATATACACAAATAAGTGTACATATTTTACCCACGCCTTTACTCCTACATTAATTTATTTTAAGTCCATCCAAAGGTTGCCTGCAAGAAATGACTTTTACTAATTAGGCCGCCAATTGTTCCGATCACTTCTATATTAAGTTTATATTATATTCATTCGTTATTCAAACACTTGTTCAGACGAAACGCGAAAGTTTACTATTTCCACTTCACGCTGGTCTTTTGTGTGACTCTGATACTTTCGCGGATGCGGTGCCGATTCGTGAGACAGCAGAAACTGTCGCGTGACCCTCCCACATTGGAAATTGACCCTTGGTGTTCCAGACTTATAGCGTTCCCGAGATGGATGAAGGGAACATGTGTGCCTTGCCCCCCGCAACGGGTCGCGGACACGACCGGCAACGAGTTCTACGTATTCTCCTTCTTCGAGGACATTCTACGCGTCGTCTCAATCAACGACATTACGCTGCTCATCCAGGACACCATATACAGGCTTACCCAGGACATTTACACCTACATACAGAAGTGAGTGTTGGATATTCTATATATGCGAGAGAGTGCCTACTCTGAACACGTGCAGCGCCTGGTTTTCGTGTTCACGCGTTGCCAACTTAGATATTGACCATACTAGTTCCACAACTAGTCATCTGTGGGGCTGTCGGATGAGCCTGCTCATTCCTCTGTCATCCCGTTTCGTTCATATGCGTCTGCTATAGAAGAAATATATTTCACTTAAACTTTTTAACAAAACTAAATTAGTTGAACGCAGCAGCGTTAATGAGAGCAAATGGTTCATTTGACCACGTAAGATACACTTTAACCATTTACCCAAACACACTTTGTTACTATGTTTGCTATACATACATATTTTTAGGCTTACTGAGCGTTTAATAACAATATTATCATTCATACAGACCGATGTTTACGATGGATTGAACACTTTCTATATTACACTGGGAATGGTACATTATGTCTTATATGTAGTAAAGGCTTTGCTTGCGTTCTTCATAAATAAAATAAAGTAGGTAATTTATATGGGACAAAAAACTATTACACATACATCTACATTCAGAAAAAAACATTCAAACCAGTGGAGGTGCTGCGGCAAACACAATTTTCAAAAACGATGAAATACACAACAAATGGCAATATAATAAAAGTCAATAAATTAAAGAATTAAAGTCGCAATTCAGTATATTATATATAGAAGAAGGATTACCTTAAGATTAAAACCTGGTCCTTAAGGCAGAACACCACTAGGTGGTGTACAAGCCTCACGATAGTTCTGTGCTGGTTCTTCTGAGTTATCAACATCCTAGGCGCTTTTAAATCGCTAACCGACTTCTTCTGAACTAGTGAGATTTTCTCGAAAGTATTTAACCGGGCGTAAGTATTGTTAATATTTACGAATATTAACAATACTTGTATCTTGTGTTAACTGATGTTTTTGCTTTCAGTCCCGAGACTATTTAAGCTTCATCTGACGCAGAACCGGTGGGCTAGCCAGAACCCACGGGTTTGGGCCCTCCGCTGTGGGTAGGGCCGTGCATGTGCTCATGCGTGCGTTTAACTACGACATGTCATCTAAGGGCCATCGAAGTTGCGGTGCGGACCGAGACCCCGATGGCCGTCGACTGTGCAATTAGCTAATCGGTGGCTGGGGGCGGTGAGAACCGCCCTGGAACGCGGGTGTACCTTGTGTACGCGTTGTGTTGGGCTCGCCGTGCTCGGAGGCGAGGGCGAACTAGTCAACAATACTTACGCCCGGTTTCTGAAACATTGATCATCGTAGAAGTTAACTAATCAGCTGTTTAAATTGTTCATTCTGATCATTAAGAAGTTCATTCTGATCTATTCAGTGAGTCTAACCATTTGACAGCTGATTAGTTAACTTCTACGATGATCGGTGTTTCAGAAACCGGGCGTTAGTTTTTTAATGTAAAACAATTTTTGAACTTTTCCCTTCCCTTCCCCCCGCAGATGGCAGAAGTACCAGCACCTGTGGGCGTTCGACAAGCACCTCTCCTGCGAGAAGTATACGCAGAGGACCGAACAGATACACAAGTACGACGAGAAGTTCTTCTTCTTCGAGGACATAATATCCGACCTGGCGGGGCACGTGCAGCACGTGGACGTCGGCGCCATCAGGGTCAACCTGCGCCCCATCATCCGCCAGGTCCAGGGCCACGCGCAGGAGTGGAAGAACATCCTGGGCCACTGCCTCGCCTCCAAGACGAAGATGAACATGTACGACCTCAAGAACCAGATCGAGGTGCGGAATCTATGTTATGTTTCAACCGACTTCGAAAAAGGAGGCGGCTGTGATTGCAATTCGACTGTGTTTTTGTTTTTGTTTGTTACCTCAGAACTTTCGACCGAGTGAATCGCTCTTGATGATTAATTTTTATTTGAAAGCTGGTGCTTCCCGTGCGGTGCCATATTAATTTCGTTGGTATTGGATCTTGGGCTCCGGAGATACGAAGGGAACTCCTCAATGAATTATAAGATGAATGCACAGCAAGATGTTTCAAGTCGTTTTTGTTTTTGTTAATAAAAAAAAATGACGTGTTGAGAAAGTTGGCAAGCTAACAGACGTTTCACCTGATGTTAAGCGATTGCCGCTGCCCATGGACATCTGTAGCACCTGACGGGACGGTGACGACACTTTTTAATGGTTCGCAATGTAAGTTCTATTGCCGTATGTGTGAGGTAGCCGGGGTCCACTTTATTAAAAGGTGGCATCGCAGTTGCAACCCTACGGGTGTTGCAAATTTCCATGGGTGGCGGTTATCACTTAATATTAGGTGAACCGCCAGCCCGCGCACCTACTCACATAAAAAAAAAAAACATTAAAAATTGAGCTCCGACTCCCACACCCACCAGCCGAAACGCTAAAATATAATACTGTAAGTATTCGACTTCACTCTAGTCTTTTATGAGACCGTGGTCTTACCCAGACGAGCCTGCCCATTCGTGCATCAGCAGAAGCTTCTGCGAGGTTATACTCATACCACAGTAGGGATGGATGTGAATTGCCATGTGTAGAGCGCAGAGCTTGTAAACTACTCGGCGACAAATATTTCACATCGGCCTTAGGAAAGAGACAATCGGCTAATTTCCGTTCCGTAGAGCGTTATCTCCGTCACACACTACCTACCTACTCTCTATATTAAGCCTTGTTCTATCTTATATTATTATTTAATTCTTCTTAAGTAGTAGTAAAATTGAATTAAAAGTATTTAAAAAATGAAATAGTGTCCTTAACGATACGGAGAAATATTCACGGCCTACAAATACTTCGGACTTAAGCTCGATTTAAATAATATAGCAAGGAAAAGACAAGCGAAACTATTTTTAATTCACATAAATAAAATGGATTGTTTTTGCCAAAAGTCTCTTCCTTTTGATATGAACATTGTTGAATATCGATATCGAATTAATTGCAGACATTAACAGGTTGGTTATTTTACCAAAATATTTTGATTCCAGTCCCTCCGCATGACGATGAATATGAACATAAAGGGGCTGGAGGACTTCAAACTGGTGATGGCCACGATAACCCAAGTCCAAGCTATGACCATAACGGCCGAGGTCAAGTATCGGGGGATGCAGGAGACATTCCACATGCTGCGACAACACGGCCTCGATGTAAGGGATTTTCAATAGCTCATTAGTACCGCTCGCTAGTAAGCACTAATAGTTATAGTGTATCTTGCGGGTTCTCATTGGATAAAAAAAATATGTGTGTGTATGTACGTAAGAAGTTACACGTCTTTAGCGTGAAATTTTATTCTCTTTGTTTGTGAAAAAGACAAACAAAATTGTAATTGATGACGGTTACAATATATTATAGGTAAATGTCGGAAAGTTGTTATTGGTTGCCATGGTAATAACCTAAAATTGGTCGCTTTGCAACCAACTTCATCATGTCGCTTTTTGGAGGTCGGTGTGCTCGCGCGTCATAATAGTTTTACATATTTATTTCCAAACGCGCCAAAAGAGGTATAACTATAAAAATTAATAATAGAACCGAAAAAATCTTTCTAAACTAGCCCGATATTTTTAATTTTTCGTAATACGTAAAGTGGGCAAGCGAGCAGGCGGTGCATCTGATGCTTAGTCATTATCGCCGCTTGTACAACTGAACGCTCTACAACATCGGATGCGGTGCCAACCTTTAAAAAACCTGTTTATGACGATAAAACCAAAACGCCAATGTATGGTACTTCTACATCACGTCGGTCTTCTGTGTGGCCATAATTCCCCGGACGAGCCTGTTGCAACGCCGTCGTCAACATTTAATAACCCGTATAATTTTGAACGGCTTGTGAAGTAATAAATGGATTAGAGACCATTTCAAGCGCATGTTCCTTTTGGATACCCAAAACAAAGCAAATTGAACCTTCGAAAAGCACATTTTTTTTTACTTTTTATGTTTAAAGATCAGAAGTATTTTTAAAGAACCCCAAAATCTCTGCATTGGACATACTAATTAAATCTATTCCGATTTTATTTCATTGTTCACAAAAATCATACGGACGGACACGGCAACATACACTGTGCCAATATCTAGCCTCAATAAACAAAATATTCATGTACCTATTGCTTTTTAAAAAAAATATGACAGGTGTCGGACGATGACGTCGCTTTCGCCAAGAACATCGAGGCCGCGTGGGGCTCACTGTACCAGTCGTCACTGTTCCGCGGCAACACCTTGGAGCAAACGAAGGAGAAGTTCTCGAAGCTGAACGTGGCGGAAATAGCGAACTTCCTCAAGGAACTCGACGAGTTTATCGAGAAGTTCGACAACGAAGGTCCCGGCAGCGTTGGCGATGACATGGAAAGGGGTCTAGAGCTAATGGAGGTGGGATGATACAATACAATACAATAAACTTTATTTGTAAAAAACATGGTTGTACAAATGCAACGTGATGTTATGTCATATCCTTAAGTATCGCATGTTTTTTGCTCTAGAGGAGCATACAAATATTAATGCATATACATTTATTGTTTTTTTTTAATGATTGATACTATGGATACTAAGGAATCACCTAACTGGCTTTGTGAGACAGTACCAAACAGTGACAAAGGCTTCTTGACAACTCAGTCACTATTTAAGAAAATATAACACTTAATATATAAAAGTATATGGATGTGATATAGTATTCAAAATAAAATAATAAACCGAAGGATTTTAAGATACATGAACAATTTTAAGATTTAAAATTAAAACTTTATAAATTATAAACTTAAAAATAATTTAGCAGTTTTCAATAAAAGTCTTCGTATTATCGCCAAAATTCACGCAACATTAATGTCCTCTTAAATTACTCTAAAATTATGTGAATTACATTATCCGCGGTAGAAAACCGATAACCGACATAAACGATGACCGATAGCTCAGAGTATTAGTAATCACCGTTGGGGAAGAAATGTTCTCGATTGGCCTCGTACTGAGTGTAGGACGACCCCCCACTAGAGTGACGAACTGTACAAGTGTGCGGGAAGTCGATGGATGAAGGCTCAGGTTCGTGGGAGTCTATGGGGAAGTCCTATGTTCAGCAGTGGACTCAAACAGGCATTATGTATGTATGTGATTGTGTTTATCCAAAAGGAATACGTAAAGCACTTCGACGAGTTGGAGTCGCGCAAGAAGGGCCTGCAAGCGGCCGAACAGCTGTTCGACAACGCCTTGGCCGACTTCTCGAATTTCAACCGCGCGAAGACCGACTTCCAGGCCATGGAAATGGTGTACAAGATCTACAAGGCGCAGAAGAACGCGCGCGAAGTGTGGGCGAGGACGCTCTGGGCGAACCTGAACCCGCAGCTGCTGGTCGACGGCATCGACCAGTTTTTCAAGGAATACCGGTGAGCACCCCGATAAAACTGAGTGTCTGGGCGCTCGCCTTTAATTCAATATACTCGAGCCATCCAAGTTCGATCCCCAGAGCCGGCACCAGTGAAATTGTTAATTTTAAGTGCCGACTTTATCACGTGCTCAACCGGCATATTTTCGAAATAGTAAAAAAAATGTATGGCAGATATGTGAAGCCCGCCAATCCGCAGTGAGGCCCCGTGGTGGACTATGCCCTGGTACCCTCTGTACAGAGGAGGCCTTCGCGCATCAGTGGGACATGAATAGGCTGTTACTTTACTGTACTATTGCGTATCGTTTTCAATTTAAGTTTATTTCATTCCGACATCTTTACAGTATCCAAGGTCACAGAACAGAACGAGTTATACCTAATGTCATCGTTGCGGTACTTAAATTTAGACTCGATACAATCCATAAATTTAGTTTCACTTGACCTTGACTCGAGCAAAAGATGACCTCAAATGTGTTTCTCCCTATAAGCAAATTGCCGAAAGCCGTCCGCCTGTCCACGATGGGGCTGATGCTTGATCTAAAGATGAAACAATTCAAAGCCGTTGTACCTCTGATGGTGTCCTTGAAGAACGAGGCGATGCGCGAACGGCACTGGAAAGAGCTGATGGTCAAAACTGGTAAACGCAACCTTATTGTCCACATATTGAGGACACATTTTTGCACAACATTCTCTAGTCCAAAAATAAGCAACGCCTGTACTATGGGTACTAGATAACTGATAAACAAACACACTTAAACATAGTTTTATTTTGTAAATAAATACACATTATACATATACAGCTTGTCTTTACTTCTTTTTCACTTAATTTGTTTGTTTGAAAAAAAAAATTTAATTATGATTTTTTTGACGTTAATATTTTTTATGATTATTGGCAAGTAGCGTTAGACTTGTGTTCATTTATTGTCCCGGTGATAACGACACGCTGTATAAACACCTGGACACTGGAAAAAAACTATGTTCATCACACAATATTTTTCCAGTGGAGGGGATCGGGTTCGATCTGGAGCAATTGATTTAATTATACTGTTTTATGTGCGAATAAAAGTGTTTACTGCGGTCGAAGTGGAAGTCAATGGGGGAGGCCTATGTTCAGCAGTGGACGTCCTACGGCTGATATGATGATGTGTGAATATCTTTGCCGCCATTAAATATTAAGAACGCAGTACTATGGCACTTAGCATGAGAGGCCTTCTTCATCCAGTGGACAATCAAAGGCTGATGATGATCTAGCTTTAAGCAATAATTAAACGGTTTTATTTAGCTCGACCCGTACGTAATTTGTTTATTTATTTGGGTCAAAATTAGAAATTGAAATTTAAGCACCTTCCCGTTGTCAGATTGATCTGAAATTTGGTACACACATTTAATTTAGATGACAATACAATATTGTAGTTTCCAGTGCACAAAAAAAAAACAGAAAATAAAACCGTTTAATTTAAAAGTTTTTAAACGGTTTTATTTTGTTTCTGTTTTCGCAAAAGATTTCGATTGCCGTAAGCTTGCTTGCGTGCGAGCTTATCTATAGACCGGAAGAACCTTAATAAAATTACATCAGTTATAATAATTGTTTTAATAACACTACTTTTGGTTCGATCCCCACTGAAAACAAAAATACTGTAGGATAAGTGTTTTTTAGGTCTGGCTGTTTTTGTATTTATTTACAAAAAAAACATGTTTAGTACAAGATTTGCTTGTTTCATGACTAGATATTGTATTAAAATATGTCTAGAAATATTTTTTATTGTTTTTTTAACTTTGGATGTATAATGAGAAGTTCTCAATATTTTTCAGAACGTTCAAATAATTAATAATGTGTATGCATTTGAATCGGATTTTAATTTCTTTCATTTATTTCACACCAGGTCAGGAATTCGATATGTCGCCGGAGCGTTTCACATTGGAGAACATGTTCGCTATGGAACTGCACAAATATCAGGACGTTGCCGAAGAGATAGTCAATCACGCCATTAAGGTACAATATTACAATAAATATCTTTGTTCAATATAGAAGTACTATACTTACAATATTGATTGTCAAAAAAAAACACTACTACCGGTTTCAAGAAGTTTAATAGCAATTGTTACGTAGTCTGAAAGCAATGTGTTTTACGACCGGTTTCAATATTTTATCTATCTATAGATTTGATTACTAGTGATAAGTATTTGACATAAGTTACAAGTAACTTACGTTACACACTACTTTACTTACGTTACTTGTAACTTATTTATTTCTAGTAATTAAATTTATAGATACAATTCAACATTCAATAATGTTCAAACCGTCCGTTAGTACATATGAGGAGCGAAAAACAAATTTTATGTTATAAATTAAACGAAAAAAAACCCTTAAAGCCACGATAGCTCAGTTTGCGGTTGGTCTGTAACCCGACTTCAAATCTCCGTGCCCGTTAAATATTTCCAATGATTAAAATCTCACCAATTAAATTTTTCATTGAAATCTTAAGCGCTGACTTATCACGTGCCGAGCAGTGAAGGAAAACATCGCGGGGAAACCTGCGTATTTTCTAAATAATAGTAATAAAAACATTTCGAAGATGTCAAGTCCACCAGCCGCGGTGGGGTCGCGTGCCGGACTGTCCACTAAGGCCCTCTGTACAGAGCAGGCTGTCACAATGGTGCGTGCTGGACTGTGCCTGTACCCTCTGCACAGAGGAGGCTTTTGCCCAGCGGTGGGATGTAAGCCGTCGCAATGGCGACCTCGCAGGAGCTGGCGATAGAGCGCGGCGTGAAAGACGTCCAGGAGACGTGGGCGAGCGTGATGTTCTCCGTGGCGAGGCACTCCGCCCGCGGGGAGGACCGCGGCTACACCCTCAACCCGTGCGACGAGATCGTCGTGAAGCTCGACGACGACGCGATGACTCTGCAGGGCATGGCCGCCTCGCAGTAAGCGATTCATCTACTGTTTCGACCTTCTTGGTGGAACTATCGGATTATATACTCTTCTACTGTGTTAGAGCCACGCAACGGCTTCGGCTGTTCGTCTGGGCAGGTCCGTCCGGGTAAGTACCGCGATCTCACGGAGGACCGGCGTGAAGTAGAAGTGTCATGCTTCTGCGTTTTTTCTGGATGACTGACGTAGCCGGGGCCCACTATATTAAAAGTTGGTAGTGAAGCGGTGGAAGTTTTTTGACGTTCAATAGGAGCTTTAAAATAAGCCTATATTCAATACAGGAATTTTGAATTTGACTTTGATCATTATCGCAACTGTTCACAAAGCCTTGCCAACTTACTTCTTTAGAATATTCCACCTCCCACATTTACTCTGGTGCTTTGTAATATACGCCCTGTTTAATACTACACTTCACTTACCGTCCCCTAATTATTTTCTTTAACGCTTGTTCATGTAATCACTTTCTTCCATCCAAGTCGCCTTATTATTTTATTTTAATACAAAACAACGGCGTTACCGTTAGACCGGCGTGAAGTGGAAGTTTAATACTTCTGCGTTTTGTCCTATCGAAAATCAGACGTAATATTATTTTAGAAAATTATCTATGTTCAATTACAGCTGTTATTAGCAAGAGATACTTAGTCGAAATCAAAATCATTCTTATCAAAATCGAATTAAGCAATCACTTAGGACCAACATTAATTTTTCAGATTTATTGGTCCGTTCCTGTCTGTGGTGCAGACGTGGGAGCATCGTCTGTTCCTCATATCGGAAGTAATTGAGGAGTGGTTGGCGACCCAACGCAAGTGGCTCTATTTGGAAGGAATCTTTGTAGGCGGTGACATCCGGTCCCAATTGCCCGAAGAGGCGAAGAAGTTTGATGATATCGATAGATCTTTCAGAAAGGTAAAAATAAATATTCCAGGACCTGTTTTTACACAACGTTATCTAGTGGGACTAGCAAAGTTTGTACTATCGGTACAAGGTGACTTAAAGATGCTTAAACATGCCTTTATTTTGTAAATAAATACATATTATAGACATATTCACATTCAGACAATTTATCCATCAAACAGTGATGGATATAGTTTCTCACCGGATGTGTTCCATTTTTTTAAAGGTTTTTTTTTTTATTGCTTTTCAAAAAATGTTCAAATGGTAGCCGGGAATATCTGTAATTAAAGACGAAATCGATTCGAATATCATAACATTAGAATTAACGGAATGTTGATTACAGATTATGTTGGACACGGCAAAGCGTTTGAACGTTGTCGACTGTTGTACTATCAGCGGTAGATTGGAGGAGTTTGTCAATTTAGGAATTGGCTTGCAAAAGTGAGTATTAGTAAATTATCAAGGCCTTATTTTTCTGATACTGTTTCACGAGAAACACTGGCATTTCTTTTATTGCCAGTTAATTAAAATTAAGCAAATTTTGTTCTTTTCCCTCGAATATACGAACATTACACATATATACATAAGTTATTAGTCGTGACAGCTCATTGTCTGGGCCTTCGTTTCTAATTCAATGTAATGTATTCGAGCACGCTGAGTTCGATCCTCGGTGCCGATACCAATGAAATTGTTAATTTTAAGTGCTGACTTATCACGTGCTCAGCGGTAAAGGAAAACATCTTGGGCAAACTGCATATTTTCGAAGTATTAACAAAAAAGCATTTGAAGATACATTTGTGAAGTCCGCCAATCCGCAGTGGGGTTGCGTGGTGCGCTATACCTTTATACCTTCTATACTGAGGCCTTTGCCCAGCAGTGGGACGTACATAGGTTGCTACATTACTTTACTTTTACATATGTTTTAAACAAATTGTGTATGTTCATTACAGGTGTCAGAAATCCCTCAACGATTATTTAGATTCCAAGAGACGTATATTCCCGAGGTTCTTCTTCATTTCTACAGACGAGCTACTTTCGATTCTTGGAAGTAGCGAATGCAGCTGCGTTCAAGAGCATATGATCAAGGCAAGTAATGAATCAATATCAAAAACTTCATCAACATTTCATATTTGTTTTATTACCTGCTTCTGGTCTACTAATTCCTTTTAATTTTCGAACGAGTTACCTATATTTTCTTTACTGTGGTTGAACGATGCAGAAAGGTTCTGCCCCACAAAAGATCGGCATTTGCACAGGTCGTCACTGCGTCCTACACTGCGATGGCCAGTACGAGGCTGCCACTCAAGAACAAGAACAAGATTCACCTAACTTATATTTCAAATTTGCAGATGTTCGACAATATCCGGGCTTTAGATTTATACGTCGATCATAACAGTCGCCCTGTAGCAGCGAAGATGATATCCGCTGAGGGAGAGGTAAACATTATTTACTTTTATTCATTAAATCGCTTTAACTAACACCGTTACTAACATTAACGCATGCTAATTAACGATTATAATATAATTTATTGGCCTTGTTAGCCGTTGTGTTTGAATGCCTGAACGTCTTTAACCATAACATTTAGTGGTACATAGCTTTTGTACTATCAAACCAAGTCATGTTTGTGTTGGTGCATAGATAATGGACTTTCGCGAAATCGTATTTACTGAGGGCAGAGTCGAGGACTGGATGAATCTGGTCCTTGGTGAGATGCGTAGAACCAATAAGTTCATTACCAAGAAGGCTATATTTTACTACGGCAAAAATTGGAACGTTCCCAGGTAAGTTTAAATAAGAATATTTGAACTGAAATTTAAAAAGAAGCTTTAATGTATTTTATCAAAAAAATTAGTAAAAAAGACTTACCCATTCATGCAGCTGTGAAAGCTGTTGCGTCAAGCCAAGCAGGAATTATTTATTTTGGTTCAGGAATATCGGCTAATGCTTTTCTTGAATAAAGTGCTCTAGATGGGTAGTTTTTCGGGCAGTGAATGGCAATGGTGGTGGTCTACGACCGTGATGATATTTCGCATGTCAGGTTTATTTCTTATTTATTGAATCTGATATATTCATATAGGTATATGAAGAATTAAAATACGCTTCTGATATATAAAAATGTTGTCCAAATCTCCTTCTGGTTAGCTTCTACCACACTAGTTTAATAATTGAAACAACGTTCTTATATGATGATAAGCAATTTTAAATACGTTGTTATTCTGTTAAGCGAAACTAAGACTTTTGCTCTCGCCCAGATTCACAGAGCCCACGGAAGTAAGTTTATTACCTATTCAAGTTTTGCATGTGGAGTACTAAACAACTAAAATGTATACTAATATCTACATGTTTGCCGTTCTATGTAACTTAACTTACATTCGCCTTGTATCTGATTTTCGTAGAACTGGATGCTGTGTCATTTTGTATTTTTTTTTTCAATTGGTACTATAGTTTACCATCATAGTAAGTCTTCCCGTGTAACCTATGTGTACGGCGACAGAACGGATTGGATAATGGAGTACCAGGGTATGGTGTGCCTGGCCGCCAACGGCGTGTGGTGGACAGCCGAGACCGAAGAGACCTTCCTGCGCATTCGCAAGGGCAACAAGCGCGCCATGAAGGAGCACCTGCAACAGCAGAACCAGCAGCTGGACGGGCTGGTCGTCAAAGTCAGACAAGGTCAGTCAAGGTCAATATCGTTGAATTTGCACTTAAGCTTTGTAAAGAATGTTTTTCGAAGGTTCAAAGTCAAAGTCAAGTCAAAGTATATTTATTCAATTTAGGCCTAACTTAAGCTCTTATTGAACGTCAACAAAATCTACCACCGGCTCACTAAACTAGACCTGTACAGAGAAGAACCGGCAAGAAACTCTGCGGTCTTGTTCTTTTTGTTATATTTTTTTTTTTGATGCAATTAGACACACTTATTTAGGTATAAAATCAGCAGCAGCCAGGGGTCTTGCAAGTGCAGAGCTAGAGTCATTTCCAAACATCCTTGTCCTCAATGTATTCTTGGATATTATAGTAGGGCCTTGCCATTAAGGTAGCTTTTACAAATTGTTTGAAATTGTTTATACTTAGTTGTTTGTGGATGTCACCTATTTTATTATAAAAGTTGATGCATCTTCCAAGAAACGACTTTCCGGTTTTAGCCAAACTAAACCTCGGTACTTCCAGAGTGTCACCACGGCTCCGACGCGATGTGGATTGTTTTTTCGTAAATAGGTGGATATTCTTACGTACATACATGATGTTCTCAAGTATGTAAAGCGACGGGAGCGTCAAAACGTTTATTTGCTTAAATATATGCCGTAGTGACTCACGTGGACCCAAGCCATAGACGGCCCGTATAGCCTGCTTTTGTAATACAAATATTGTGTCTAAACCGGATGCGGAACCCCAAAGTAAGACACCGTAGGACATTATGCTGTGAAAATAAGCATAATAAACTAATTTAGCTGTTTCCTCGTTAGTTAGCTGCCTGATTTTGCGTATGGCAAAGACGGCAGCGCTCAATTTCTTAGCTAACTTATCTACATGAAATCCCCATTGCAAGTTGGAGTCAACGCTTATTCCAAGAAATGCTGTTGAATCCTCAAGGGGTAGTAGGTTAAACGTAGACTTCAGAGGAGCACTAAAAATAAAGTTTCGGACGGCAGTAATCGTTTAAGAACATCAGGTGAACTGCCTGCTAGTTTGCCAATTTTGCACATAGAAAAGACACACAACAAGACAAAACCGCTTACGTGCAGTTTCACACGATCACAAAAAGTCAACACATCAGAAAAACTTAGATCACATGTGATGTGAGAGACAGGAGCCAGGGCGGACGACGGTCTCGCTTACGTCACCAAATTTCAACAGATCATTCGGCCCATGCCCGCACACCTTAAGTTCCGCACAATCACAAAAAATCAACAGATAACCTAGGTCAAAGGTGATGCGGGAGACAGGAGCCAGGGTGGACGACAGCCTCGCTTACGTCACCAACTCTCAACAGACCTGTCGGCCAAACCGCCTCAAGTTCCGCACGATCATAAAAAGTCAACGCAAAACCTTAGATTAGAAAGAAAGCCAAGAAAGTAAAAAAAGCCCGCTGAGTTTCTTTCGCCGCTTCTTCTCGGTACAATGGCTTTCTTTCCGAACCGGTGGCAGTATTTTGACTATCATCAATAAGCGAGCGTAATACTCCTATGTTGTAAAGTAAAGTAAAGTAACAGCCTATACATGTCCCACTGCTGGGCAAAGGCCTCCTCTACACAGAGCGTATCAGGGCATAGTCCACCACGCGGCCCCACTGCGGATTGGCGAACTTCATATATCTTCGAAAAATATATATTTTTTTTTTTTATTATTATTTCGAAAATATGCAGGTTTCCTTCACCGCGGAGCACGTGATAAGTCAGCGCTTGAAGTTAAAAACTTCATTGGTGCCGGCGCCGGGGATCGAACTCGGGTCGCTGGAGTGTATTGAATTAAAGGCGAGGCCTATGTTGAATGAGGACATTTGATTTTGATTCTCACCAACTCACAACAGACCTGTCGGCCAACGACCGCCTCAAGTTCCGCACGATCACCACGATCGACGTGCACGCGCGCGACATCATCGAGGGCTTCGTGCGCGACAACGTGACCGAGGCGGCCGCCTTCCAGTGGGAGAGCCAGCTGCGCTTCTACTGGCTCAAGCGCGACGACAACTTGTGGATACGCCAGTGCACAGGTGCGTTGCCCCTCTGCCGGTGCATTGCATACGGTTGGCGGCGCATCGGCGATCCGTCAGGTCCTGTGTGTGCCCACGGGCGGCGGTCACTTAACATCAGGTTTACTCCTCGTTTGACAACTTTTCACATAAAAAATGTGATGTGCGTCTTCCACTGAACTTACTCGGTAATATCTGTTATTAAGTATTGTAAATTGTACTTTTAATTTTTCTGTTCTGACATAATGTTACTGTAAGTATACAGAAATAGTAATAGCTGTGCATGTTTTGTATTTCGTTCAAAAAATGGCAGATAGTGTGTATTGTCCGAATGGGGACAGACAACTTCCTATATTATTAAATTTTTAACTATGAACTTATAAAAACTTCAATTTAATAACTTAGGTCATAAATTAAAACTTGTGCATGTATTAAATTTATAAGAGAGCTTTAAAATGAAAACAGCAGCTATACTCGCAATGGTTTCATATAATAGCTGACATAAAGTTTTCATACACCACTGTTTCTTGTAGTTCTTAATTCATAATTTTACTTTTACAGTAATTTCCTAACTAGTAATATATTTTTAGGACTATTTGAATACGGCTACGAGTATATGGGCCTGAACGGACGTCTCGTCATTACGCCTTTGACGGATCGGATTTATCTTACAATAACGCAGGCTTTAACAATGCAACTTGGCGGAGCTCCAGCAGGTAATAATTATTTTCTTTAATATTAATTATAATTTAGCTTTTTTATATTTTGTTTATTTTATGTAAAAAAACAAAAGTGCTTTATCATTCTTTTCCTAGCCATTTTATTCTTAATAGGTCTTCTTTGTTCTAAAGTTCCAAACGTCTTAAAACTTTATCTGATTTATTGAGTACTTTCATTAAGATCTCTAAGAAATCAATTATAATGTGTTGTCGTTTGCCTTACTTACGGCTCTAAAAAGCCCGATGGCAAAATATGTAAATTAATGTTACATAAAACATAAAGTAGTAATGGTTTTGATTTCGTTAAGTTACATGGTTTCACTTTCATGAGATAACTAAGGGAAAGCAGGAATAAAATATAAAAAAACCGGAAACGTTTCGTGGATCCACAGTCCGATAAGCAAATATTTTGTAATGATAGAATTAACCCAATAAGTAAACGGTAATAACGAAGATATATTATTTTGCGTATATAAATTAGAAGATTCTACTACGTCAAAATTATTCACACTAAATTCTGTTACTGAATCACCGGAATATCACAGCATCACAGAAGTCCAGTTTAAAGAAGAAATATATTTATATTTTTACATTTTGTCTGGTGACAGTAATTCACTCTCTGCAACATGTCAATGCACTTGCGACTTCGAATGTTGCGGTGTCCGTGCGTGACACTCACTCTCTTGAAATATCCATGCACTTGCTCTAGTGAACTTCACCACGTCAACTCTTGATCGTTTGCCACCAACTGATAAACAAATGATACGTAGTACTCGTAAGTTAATAGATTTACATGACAGTTTGCCACCATCTCATCAACGAACGACACGTAGTAAATCCAAGGAATTACCCGCACGCGATCAGGCCCCGCCGGCACCGGGAAAACGGAGACCACGAAGGACCTGGCGAAGGCCCTGGGCCTGCTCTGCGTGGTGACGAACTGCGGCGAGGGCATGGACTTCCGCGCCGTCGGCCAGATCCTCGCCGGCCTCTGCCAGTGCGGCGCGTGGGGCTGCTTCGACGAGTTCAACCGGATCGACATATCGGTCCTCTCGGTTATATCCACGCAGCTCCAGTGCATACGCAGCGCGCTCCTCATGAAGCTCAAGAGGTTCACGGTGGGTGAGCTAAACGCTATGCGGCTTATATCTAACTCTTCTGGGCAAAAGCCTGCTCTTCACAGAGGGTATTAGAGCAAATGTCTTCGAAAATATGCAGGTTCCTTCACAGCTGAGCCCTTGATAAGTGAGCAGTTTATAACAATTTAACGCTCGAGTACATCCAATTCAAGCGCCTGGACACTGAGCTATAATGGCTATGCATACTGAAGTAGAACAACTTACATGTCTTAAAGGCATGAGTGAATAAGCTGTAACTAAGCTAGTGAGTTCCAGGACATTTCTCCTAACCTCATTAAACATTTTGATTCACAGTTAAGTGATTCCGATTTGAACAGTGAATTAAATTCTAGTTCGAGGGTCAAGAGATAGCGATGGACAGTAAAGTGGGGATCTTCATAACAATGAACCCGGGATACGCCGGTCGCACGGAGCTCCCCGAGTCGGTCAAGGCGTTATTCCGACCCGTTGTTTGCATCTTGCCAGACCTGGAGATGATATGCCAGATTTCACTGTTCTCTGACGGATTCCTAACTGCTAAGGTAAACGAAATACTTTTAAGCACAAAATGATTTGAATCTTTAATAAGATGTGAAGATAATCGTGGAAAAATTTTAAATGCAGTGTTCACGGCATAATAAATTCAAAAGAGACAAATCCAAACGCAAACATTAAAAAAAGTAGACGATAAATTCGCAAGCGATTGCGTGAAAATGTTCAAGTTTTTCTAAAATATTATTACGATAAATTTCGACATAAAATTACAAATATATAACTTCACGATAAGTGTCAAAAACACCTATGCTATACGATTTGACTGCACTAACAAAAATGAAAAAATCAATACAGATAATTTCGCTGCTAAAAAGCATTCACACAATCGTGATTGTATCCCTGCTTTATTCACTAAGTGTGAATCATTTTTATACCAACTTTAAGGTACTGGCGAAGAAGATGACGGTTCTGTACAAAGTGGCGCGCGAGCAACTGTCAAAACAGTCGCATTATGACTGGGGCCTGCGCGCTCTAACCGCCGTACTGCGGATGGCGGGAAAGTTGCGACGAGACTCGCCCGGCCTTAGCGAGACAATGGTGCTAATGCGAGCCCTAAGGTACTTACCACCATAACTACAACACACCACTGTCATAACACACCACTATCGGAAGAAAGTTATCCGGGGAATGTGGTTGTATCCGGGGACTGTAGCAAAAATAAGCAAAAGTGGTGGTACCACGCACGGACCTAGTGAAACCCTCGTTTATACGCCACGGTTTATTCCAAGTAAACGGAAATAATTAAATGAAACTGTTTCATTTAACAATATTCATACTGTCATTAATTCAAAAGTCTTTTCACTTCTGTCAGCACTCCCCATGACTGCCTTTTTGTAATTAAAATAAATTTGAATATTACAGTAATAATAACATCAGGTTAACATAAACATCGTTTTAACGCTTTGGAACAATCATTCAGGGATATGAACCACCCGAAGTTCGTGTTCGAGGACGTGCCACTGTTCTTGGGCCTGATCAAGGATCTGTTCCCGGGCCTCGAGTGTCCGCGAGTCGGTTACCCGGACTTCAACGCTGCAGTCACCGCAGTGCTAGATAGGGGTGGTTACATCGTGATGCCGCATCAGGTACACACCCCACTCTCCTTGCCAATTGATATAAAATAAATAATAGAAATAACCGTAAAATTTGTTGTTAATAAAATTAATAGGCAAATTAATATTCACCCAATGAAACACCATAACTTACAAACGAAAGAAAGCTTGTAATAGAATAGTTCTAGAAATTACTGTTGTCTGTCGTTCTAAAAAATCTTCCCCTTCTAGTGTCATGCTATCGTAATAATGTTTTAGTTTGTACTATTATTTTTATATTATTTTACTAAATATAATTAAATATTTATACATATAACGGGATAATGAGGCTCTCTTCTACAGATAGAGGGCCTCGGCTCATTATATATTTTTTTTTTAAAACATTGCCCACACTTTAGGATAACATTATCCTGTGTTGTAAGGACGTTTTACAAACATAATTTGCATGAGGACAAATACCCAGATGCGAAACATTTATCTGTGGGTCGCACAAATAGTTTTCCCGTGTGGGAATCGAACCCACGACCCCCGACGCCGAAGCCAATACCTTGGCAACGGCGCCACGGAGCCATCTAAGGATAGGGATAATGAAATTACTTTATTAAGTTAATTAATTATTACGTATTTTTTATTTACCGTTGAAAACTTATTCCGTATTTTTTTTTTTTTAATTTTTAGTCATTGTTTCTACAAAATGGAGAATAAAACGGTCATTATATTTGTAACCACTTCAAACAGGTGGACAAAGTGGTGCAGTTATACGAGACCATGATGACGCGCCACTGCACCATGCTGGTGGGGCCCACTGGAGGGGGGAAGACCGTCATCCTCCATACGCTCGTGCAGGCACAGATCGATCTGGGCCTCCCCACCAAGCTGACAGTCATCAACCCCAAGGTTAGTTATTACCACATAGAACGGAATCGTTAGTTCAAATGATATGAAACTTAGAAAACAAATAAAGACATGACCACGAATATAGTTACATTAGTGCCAGATAGGTGGCGCTGGTGGCAACGACTTTTATCTTTTGAACCATAGGTCGAATTGATATGAAATTTTGTGTATATGCATGTGGCAGCATAGGAACACCTAACTAATATGGTTACATTGGTCACTGATAGACGACGACAGTGACGTTTAGTTAAATTAAAAAAAAATTAATCATAGATCTAATTCATCTGAACCTAACCTTACTATGTTTGACAAAAGTCAATTGTATGTCGCGTGTTTCCGCGTTGGTAAACCGACAAGTTTGTTTATTTTTGCAGACTGTCATACTTTCATTGTTTTTATATTTGTTTTAAAGAAATAGGAGCATGGTTCTTCAGACTGTATGCGGTGGAGAAAAGCATCCGTCTCCATTAAAGATTTTTACTTCTTCACATCTTTTCGCATAACAGTGACACAATCTTTGCATTGAGCAATTCTTCTGATCTTTTCAATTTCATGCGAATACACAAGTTAGGACTCGGGCGTCTATCAGTTTGATTAAATATTTCCATAATATATTTGCAGGCTTGTTCCGTTGTGGAGCTGTACGGGATCCTCGATCCGGTCACCCGCGACTGGACGGACGGTCTATACTCCAAAATATTCCGCGAGATGAACAGGTAGGTGGCCGGTAACTCATCAGATTTTTGGTTCTAAAACAATTAATAATGTCCAAATTGATCGAAAGAAACTTGGAAGTAAACAAATTGAGTTGCGAGTTGGTTGAGTAACAAACATATTTTTCTTTAAATTTTATTACCCAGGTAGGTTAGCTACTAAGTAAAGAATTTTAAAAAATCAGATAGCACAATAAAAACCTATTTATTCTTGATAAATTTATTTTGTTTCCTAAAAAATACACGCAACAACGATTGTTAATGAAAATTTCGTTATATTATGATCAGATATGGATCTTTTAGTTGGATGGATAACAAGGTTGCCAGTGAGATTTTCCGGATTATTTACGTAATATATTTTTAAACAATATACCGAATTAATGTAAATTGTCTATTGAAATATGTATCTCGAAATACTATTTATGATTCAACTTTATCAAAATTTCTGTTATAGCTTTGTTCAATTTTATTTTCACTTTTATGCAATGCTTGTACTATAGATAATTTTCGCACTGATACATAACGGGGGCGTAGCTCAGATGGTAGAGCGCTCGCTTAGCATGCGAGAGGTACCGGGATCGATACCCGGCGCCTCCAAAGGTTACTTTTTTGTTATCTTTAAACTTTTCCTCCCTTTTACATTATTGTAATGTTTCATTGTAACAATTTCTGTATTCTTTCAAAGTATTTCGTTCAAATTATTATTTTCGATCATACATGTATATTATATTTACAATTTTCGTTTTAAATGCGTACCTACTAGATTTTTTTCTCAAAATGAACCTACAAAATTTATACGAAATATTTCGTTAAAGTAATATTTATAAATAAAATTTTAAAATAAAAACAGGCGTTCAACCTTGCGGGGTGTAGACCTTGTACAACAAAATATTTTATAGAAAAACGTTTTCCTAGACCACAAGATATTCTATATTTAAGATTATAAAGATTTCTATAAAGTGTAACAAACATCAGAAAGCAATATAAAGCGGCATAAATATTTGTATAAAATATGTTATTGAAATAAATCGTGATTTCGAAATAAAATTATCTTCCTGATAAATTACGTACATGATGATAATTAGCATCAAAACGGTAAATAAGTAAGAGGCATTTAAATTTATCTAATATCAAATACTTATTAGCCATTCCAGCCATATTTAATATCAATCAAAGGGACTATATTTCGTATTGGATTTTATTTGCTAAAGAGATGACTCGGATAGGGTATGATATTGTAGATAAAAAACATCTCTAAAACAACTCTAAAGCCATCTGCCAATTGGCTTAGTTGGTTAAAGGGCCTGGTTGTGTCACCAAGAAGACACAGGTTCGATTTCCGCAGTTCTGAAGATCATGCAATTTTCCCACGATAAATTATTTACACACACATTTTCACATTTTAAATTTCCTCTTGAGCGCAGAGGTATGTATTAACAAGTAAAACATTTTTAATAACAAAAAAGCTAACCGACTTCCAATATCTCACTCGATATACAATTTGATTTTGGGAAGTTCCCTTATGTATCTCCCGAGTTCGAGTTCCATTATCAATGAAATTAGTAAGGGACCACATGAGAGCTGAACCGAACGAATTAAAAAAAATTACAATCGCTTTCGTCAATGATGGAATTCTGATCTAACAAACATAAAAAAATCAACCTTATTGAGAAGCTCATTTATCGAAGTGAATCGAAAAATAAAATTAATCATAAAACAGTGCGACGTCGTAAGATCGAATCTCGACCCTTAAAATATGTTTATTCAACCTTAACGAATTCTTAGACCTTTTCCGGAGTAGGACCGGGAAGAAAATGCGGTCAAAAGATATATTTCTGGACACATTTTTACACGTTTTCTAGTCCCAAACTAAGCAACGTTGGGTAGTAGATAACTGACAAACATACTTAAACATACTTTTCTTTCATAAATAAATTCATATTATAAACATATAAACATCCAAACACTGTAAAAACACTATGTTCATCACACAATATTTAGCTGTGGTGATCGAACCCACACCCTCTGGCGCTGGAGGCAGGGTCTCCACCCATTGTGCCAATCGGGGTATGTATATATATATATATATATATATTTGGTCCGCAGGCCTACCGACAAGGACGAGCGTCGCTACTCGCTATTCGACGGGGACGTAGACGCGCTGTGGATAGAGAACATGAACTCTGTGATGGACGACAATAGACTGCTGACCCTGGCGAATGGCGAGAGGATCCGCCTGGCGCCGTACTGCGCGCTGCTCTTCGAGGTGGGCGACCTGAACTACGCGTCGCCGGCGACCGTCTCTCGCGCCGGCATGGTCTTCGTGGACCCCAAGAACCTGGGCTACCAGCCGTACTGGGAGAGGTTAGACGCTTTTTGCGGGTGCGCATTAGCGGTCATGAAATATGACTGAGGCTCGTCATATTTAGGTGTCCTGAAATATGACTGCGATGACCGTTATATATCTGAAATCGGATATTAATATGAAGCTTGTCATATTTAGCCGTCATCACGTATGGCTCAGCCAGTAATAGCTATTGCTATTCGTCAACCAGATGGCTCCGAGGGCGGAACAACGAGGAAGAGCGCGAACAGCTTGCCGGCCTGTTCGAGCATTACGTGGCGGGGGCTATCAACTACATTGTGTACGGGATGTTCGGGCTGCAGCAGCAGACGCCTCTATCCACCATCGTGCCCCAAACGCCTCTGAACCTGGTAACTCCTCTCTTCTCTCTTTCTCTCGTTCTAGAACGTTCTAGCCGCAAAGACGTAATTCCGACTATAAAAGGGGCCCGGAGCGCTCTAGACGGAACGTTCAGCGGAGTAACTCGAAATACAGAGTACGAGTCGGACTCGCGCACGAAGGGTTCCGTGCGATTACCTATGAAAACGGCAAAAAAAAGTCATGTCTGCTGTATCGGAGCCCCACTTAAAAACTTTTTTTATCCTTTTTTTTGTATTTGACATTAAGCGGCAAAAGAAATACATCATCTGTGAAAATTTCAACTGTCTATCACGGTTCATGAGATACAGCCTGGTGACAGACGGAGAGACAGCGGAGTCTTAGTGATAGGGCGTAACCCTTTTACGCTTTGGGTACAGACAGAACCCTAATACTATACTCACTTTATAATATAGTTATACTTAAATACTATTTAGTATTATGATTATATTTAGCATTATTTTAATAGTTACATTTGGAAATAACGTTTTTATTTTTTATTATTTATTGTGATGCGATGTCAATATTTTTACTTAAAAACTTCATCGTCGATCAATCAATAAGTCTTAATAATAATCGTAAAGCCTTAGTGATAAGGTCCCGTTTTACTCTTTGGGTACAGAAACCTAATAACTTTAAGATAGTTATACTTAGATATTATTTAATATTACTTAAAAATTTCATCGTCGATCAATCAATAAGCAGTGAACTATTCCTCCAGGTTGTACAACTGTGCTACATGATAAGTGGACTACTTCCTAATAGGGAGGACGCCAACGAAGAGTTCGATAGAACTGTTGTCGAGTGTGTCTTCATGGTGGTGAGTATACAACGTTCACACAAGGTTTTCAAAGACAAATAAACAAAAAACTAATTATTGAAATGATTTGCTGCCGTATAAAATTTTTTGTCGTTGTTGAATGTAATTGTACATATTTTACTAAGTGTTAATTTATTATTAGCGGTAATTTTTATCTACACCTATAATGAGTTGTCTTTGAGTCGAATACCGCACGTTTTACTTTATACGATGCTGTAGGTGCAACTTATAAAATAAATAATTTAAAATAAAACTAAAGTTAAGAAGTAAGAAAAAAAATGAAAATTTGACTATACTGTATATAGCTTATACACGTCATGGTTTAAAAACGGACACGGGGTTATTTTTTTACCGAATTTTGAGCAGCTCCTTGTGTATTCTTATGTGTAAGGACACATGTAAGGACGAGGCAGAAAAGGATATGCCCCGTTGCGATTGTTTTCGGGGTATAATCAAGCCATTAGGTCATAAGCACATCATGCGATGTAACTCATGAATCATTGGAAATCTCACATCTTATTACGGACGGTGGTTCCGGATTTTACGAATAATATAACTATATAGCAATATATTACAATAAATAAAATAATTATATGTCATGTATAAATAATATATATTATGATACTAGCGGACCCAACAGACGTTGTTCTGTACACGCGACTTAAATCCGACATCAACTTAAAGATAAAAAAAAAAAAAAAAAACAAAAAAAAAACGAATTGTGAATGTAAACCATTCTCAAGTAGACCTGCACAACAATTTCATTAAAATCGGTCCAGCCATTTAAGAGGACTTCAGTGACATACACACGTACTGAATAATTATATATATAAAGATAAACTTTGTAAATAACGCGCCCAGAAGACGCAAAAATAAAAAAATATTCTAATAAATTGGGTGTTTCCGCACCTACTTGTCTAGGCGATTGGAACGTAATGTAAAAATAATTTAAACAAAAATTATATTGGAGGCGCCGGGTATCGATCCCGGTACCTCTCGCATGCTAAGCGAGCGCTCTACCATCTGAGCTACGCCCCCGTTGAATGTATTGGGCAAAATTCTTATTTCATCCAAGAAAGCCGCTTTAGCAAACCTGTTTAAATTGCGACACTTACCTTACGCAATCGTTTTGTACTTGTTTTCTTTACGTAGTCACGTACGCGATTTTAAATGTATTCACGGTCAGCTATCGCTGTACGAAGATGCCAAAACATCCCATGAAGAGCGGCGGTATCAACCCTGTCGTGTGGGTAGTCTTTAGCTAGAATAAGCTAGAGTAGAGAAGTATTAAACAACTAATTTCTCCAAACGTTTGTCGTTTGGAGAAATTAGTAGTACGGTGATGGGCGGCGTTGTTCTGACCTGTTCAAAAGGCGAAAAGACGTTGCTTGTCAAAGTCGATTACGTCAGTGACTAGTAAGTTAATGAAAGAGGAGTGTATCTGGGAATTGGTGACTATAATAGGACCAGGCAGTAGTTTCAGCTGTTGCCATAGAAGATCTGTGCGAATTAGAAGTAGTATAAATATACTTTTGCGTGGTGTATGGTTGCTGAGCCTTGATAACTCAGTTGTTAAGTGTTCACTTATCACGTGGTCAGGTTTGAAGGAAAACATCGTGAAGAAACCGGCATATTTTCGAAATAATAACAAAAAATTCGAAGACCGTTGCCAGGTGGACTACGGCCTTTTTTCCGTGGGAAAAATTCATATCCAGGGATTTTTCCCTCTGAAAATTACACATACTCCTGCCACTTGTACAGGGAAGTGACAGGGGTATGTGGGAGTCCCAATAAGAACGGGTACCCACTAAAAAACCCACGTTGCACTTGTCTCTGACACGGGAACACTTGGGACGCAATCTTTTGCGACTACGGAGCGACATAGTGCTGTGCCGGTGCAATTGGCACGCACACGTCACGAGCCCCATATTGAGCGACAGACACCCCCATGCCTGCCGCTCAGGGTCTCACTATCAGGGGGGAAGATTGCGCGCGTAGGCCAGCCTCCTGCGCCCTGGTTTCCGGCGGCGGATATCCAGGGTGGCAGTTGCCTCCCTTTCTCTCTCCACGGCCTCCTTCCGGGTGATAATCACTCCACGCCCTCTCGCAGTCAACCATAGCGCGAACCACGGCTGGCAGCGAGAGGTGCACTACGCTCTAATACTCTCTCTATAGACGAGGCCTTTGCCTTTGCTTTTCTTAGTGTGCGAAATTATTTTAATAGTCTAATACCTGAATTCTGTGTCTCGATTTTTGGATCTACTCCGATGTGAGTTCCGGGTTTGGTTACCGCATGGCATACGTTTTTGCGTAGTGTATTTTGCCAAGATTGTCGTCTTTGTTTGCATATGGACGTCTTCGCTTGACACTTTTCAACGTCTTATTCTTATCAAATAAGAAAGTTAATATTTCGATGACAAGCAAAATATTTTCAGTCTTCATTCACTTAATTTTTTCAAGTACATATTTTGTACACTTTTCACCCATGAGCTCGTCTAGAAATTTCGCCTCTGATACATGCCATAAATAAACGCAAACTTTCTTTTCTTACAACCCTAACTTCTCAGTCGGAGGGGGAAGGGACAAATGTACTCGTGTGACCTTTTTCAATAAGATTCAATAAGATTCGTCGAGACAGCTGATGAACCTCTTAAAGTTCATTGGTAACAAATGTAATATTTTGAGTTTTTAACATAAAGCTAGAAATCCGGTAAAAACAAAATTTGTTTATACACTGCTGATTACAGGAAAATGCATAAGAGAATGTTTTCTTAAAGTGATAATAATTGACAATGAACATACTACCTAGTATTTTTGCAACTCTCGAACCGACAAATGTTCACATGAATCGAAAGGAGAAAAGTCTATATATAATTTATAACAATAACGAAAGCCTTTCTTGGTGAAAATTCTCACGAATTTGAAAAATTTCTGCCAATTTCTGACCTCGGGATAATATTACGAAATGTTCCTTTCACCGTTACCTACTATTATTGCAATACGACGTTACATTTTGATTATAATTTCATACGGGGGCGTAGCTCAGATGGTAGAGCGCTCGCTTAGCATGCGAGAGGTACCGGGATCGATACCCGGCGCCTCCATTAACTTTTTTAATTAATAATTTTAATGTTTAATTTTTTGGGTATATTTCTCTTGATACTTTAAAGCAGTTTTCCCTTTTTTGTCCTTCCTCTTGTTTAAAATAAACCTATGGAAAGTATCTTATTCATGTTGGTTTCAGGTAAATTTTTATAATTCTTTTACTTAATTATGCGAGAATGTGGCAAACGAGCTAGCAGATTATAACCATTGACAGCCGCCCATTGACATTTAAAACACCCGTTGCAGATGCTTTGCTACCTTTTAATAAAGTGGGTCCCGGCTACCTCAATGACCAAACGAAATGCAGAAATATAACACTACCAATTCACGCCGTTCTTCTGTGAAATCGTGGTACGTAACCGGACGGACCTGCCCAATCGTACATCAGTGAAGACTGTCGCGTGGCCGTACCACGTTTAAGGAAAGTACCCGGAGGACCGAGCTTTGCTCGGTGTTTTTTTTTTTTTTTGTAAATCGTGTGTTTTGGAAATTACATTTAGATACAAATTACTCAGTAATGAAATATGCATAATATTTTTCGATCTTACCGACGTAATAATAAGAAAATATGAACTGATGTTTTTCAGAAAAGAACGAACTTTAAAAAAAAGGGAAAAAAATAGCAAAATAACAAATCGACAAAAAATTAAAAATAAAGAAAGCAATGATCTGGAATCTAAAGAAAGTAAAAAATAAATGTGTAATTACCGACCGAGCTATTATGACATTTTCTCTTGCGGCGAAATTTACCGTCATATTCGAATTATATTTTTCATTCCCTGAAAACAGGGATAAAAGGACATTTTCTAAAAATGAAACCTAGCTAGATCGATTTTTCGCCCCCGAATCTACGCACATACTAAATTTCAGGAAAATCGCTGGAGCCGTTTCCGAGATTCCGATTATATATATATATATATATACAAGAATTGCTCGTTTAAAGGATAAGATGATTATCATAATTCGTAATAAGAGGCTGTAAGTAAATCAAAAATGCGCCAGTAAATCATAATTAAACAAGTACCAAAAAAATTGTATGTTGGGTACATGATGTCGAAACACGAAGACTAATTGAAGATTTAAAATTTGGAAAATTATTAAATTGCAGAGTGTCTTCAATAATAAATTTCAAAACCTAGATATATTCAACACAAATAAGGATAGCTGCAAAAGGGGAGTATTAAAGTATTGGAGGAGGAAATGGCATCTTAACCACTCACTCACTTACTCACATTCGCACGCACACACACACACACGCACGCACGCACGCACGCACGCACGCACGCACGCACGCACGCACGCACGCACGCACGCACGCACGCACGCACGCACGCACACACGCACACACGCACGCACACACACACACACACACACACACACACGCGCGCGCACACACACACACACACACACACACACACACACACACACACACACACGCGCGCGCGCGCGCACACGCACACACACGCACACACGCACACACGCAAACGCGCGCGCGCGCGCGCGCGCGCAAGCACGCACGCACGCCTTTAATTACTACACAGCTCAACTTACAAGGAGTGTTCTTATAACCGAAACTGAAATACAACGTTCGGCACAAAGAAATATTGTAACGATAAAAAATATCACCTTTAAAAATATAAAATTATAGTTGGAGGCGCCGGGTATCGATCCCGGTACCTCTCGCATGCTAAGCGAGCGCTCTACCATCTGAGCTACGCCCCCCTTGAATGTATTGGGCAAAATTCTTATTAGGAGTACAATCGTTAAAGCCGCTTTACCAAACGAGTTTAAATTGCCACACAATTCCCTTGTGCAATCGTTTTGTACATTCTTAAAGGGAAATTAATATGCCTGCAGTCACGTACTCGACTTTAAATTCATTCAGGGTCAGCTAT